AAACTCAGGGCAGACCACAGTTATCTCCTCTACGGGGCCCAATAGAGGGAAAGAAAATAAAAAATGAGGACTCAGAACACTCTGAAGAAATTAGTGAGAGTATGTAGAAAATTTCTTTCAACATCAGAAAAATATTGCTGTCCTAAACACTATTTCATTGTCAGTACATGTCACATACCATTTGGTTATATCCAGGCTATAAATGATCTCAGAATTTATACTTGTTATTTCTCAAATACCGCATTCTCAGTATTTGAATTTCCAAAACTCAAGAACTCCACAATTTATTGTTATACGCTGTATATATGAAGTCTTGGGGAAAAAAAAAAAAACCAGAAAGGCAAGTGTAAGAATTCTGAGACTTGAAACATTTAATTTTCTAATTAGTTTGGAGTGTAATTTGGTGTTGAAAAGAAGAGGACCATCAAGGATACCCCAATTAGAAATCTAATGCCTAGAAATGTAAAAGTGATCTGTTACGCACATTCAAAAGAAACTTGCCTTCATTTATGTACAGGTTCATATAAATATATATGAACCTGTTAGTGCTTTCTGTGTGGGCAGTCCTGTTATATCATCATCATTTCAGCTTTCTTAGTTTTCCAAAAAGCAGTTTCAGATGAGAATTTATATTCCCAGTATGTATTGTTTTTTTCCCTAGAGCATGCAATTTTTTCAAGTTTGTTATTGCTTCTAAGAATGACATCAAGAATGCTGAAGATGTGCCTTGTGTTCAGAAATTGGAAGTGTTTCATAATTACTAGCAGTGTTACAACATTTTTGATTAAGAGATTGACATTTATGTCAGATGTAGAGCAAAAAGGGCACATCTAAACATTGTATATGCTTTTATGCATGCAAGCAATTGAATGGCATAGAGACTTGCCATAGTTGGGGATGCACAGCTGAAATTAAATGAGTCATTAAAATGTCTTGGGGCAGGACAACAGCTTTCTGTGCTTGCCACAAAACTTACCAGGTCTATACCATCATATAGCCAGATTCTATTCTTTTCTCTAATTTGTGCATTATTGAATGCTAATTCAGTTGATTTTAAAATCTATGCAATCACCAAATGATAATCATGTTTTGTAGCTTTTTTTGTAAGTTTTCACTTGTATATATGAATACATGAATTTTCAAAAGCATGTTGGTTGACCAGAAAGTCAGATGAATTTTAAATGTGTCCTTTTTTCCCACTGAAGATGGTGAACTTCCTGATCTTGACTACCTGAGTACCATGACTCACATTGTGTTGGTGGATCTGGACAACTGGGGAAGCTTTTTTACACAGCTGCCAGCTAATCTGAACCAAGGGACTTTTATCTGGGGTTTTCAAGGTAAAAAGTATTTGAAGGAAATTAAAAGATAAAATTAAGAAATCTACAGATATGCTTGAGCAGAGATTTCCTTGAATCTAAGAAAATGAAGAACAGGAGCAAGTAGCTACTAGGGCCTCTGAAGTCACAGTGTCACAGGCACCATTTTATCGAAATGTTCTTGAACTTTTCAAACTCAGTCTAAACTTCCACTGCTCTTACTATTCCTTGTAGAATATTGTTTCAGAATTGCAGAACTGTTTAGGAGTCTTTCTGGCTTCCCTCATGAACTTACTTATGATGTATTCTATTTTCATAATTATCAGGACAGCCATAATACTCAGAGATTACTTTAACTCCTGAGTCCTTCTCATAAGACTAGAAATTTTTGGTTTGGTTTGCTTATTTAGTTCCAGAAGACATGATTTTGCATTCTTAGACTTTTAATGTTGTTCTGTCTCTGGCTTGTTCTTTAAAGGGTGGCTTTGGTCATCCTGTACAACAATGTCACAACTAGAAGATACCAGTGACTGATGGAACTTGCATTTCATGAGTTTCATAGAATAAGAGAATGGTCTGGGTCGAAAGGGACCCTAAAATTATACTGTTTTGCAGTCTGCCAGTAGCATCCCTTTAACTTGATACTTCTGCTTATCTGACTCTTTTTGAACCCACATCTTGTCCACCTCATGCTTTTTCTACAGGTTTTCTCTGTATCTGCTTTTATAATTATTTTGTCTGTGGTACATTGATTTCTTCAGTAAAGTGTAGATAAGGGATAGTTTCAAAATATTTATGGCCTGAAACATAGGCATTATTTTACCACTTTTGTAGGAAGTGTCAAGTGTGTTTTATACTTAGTAAACACGATTGCACAGCACTTCTTTCCTAAATGTTTTTTATTATCTCTTCACATGGAAGATAATCAAGAATATTCTGAAAGCTGAGAGTTGTCGTGCTTCTCATGTTGGACAGAAAGGCCTCTTGATGGCTTACTTTTGGCCTCTTGATGGTTACTTTTTTTCCTTCTTAGAAACATGTTTTCCAGTATCTGATGAAGGCAGAGCAAGTATGGCTATTAATGTATAGCGTTAGATACAGTCATCTGTGCTCCTGGACCTGTAATCTTGTTAGGAGTTTTGGGAAGAAATCCTCTCATCTTCCCTTAACCTTAAAATAGGTTATTCTCCTGAGTTTTGTGTTCTACTTCAGCATTACTTCTGTATCACTACCTATATTGTCATTACCTTTGGCCTTTCTGTAACATTCCTGTGCACATGCAAGCCACAGAAAATACTCCTTTTGAGCTTTTAAATCACAGAATGTTAAGGGATTTGAATGGACCTGAGAGATCATCTTGTTCTGACCCCTTCTGCCGTGGGCAGGGGCACCTCCCACTAGACCGGGTTGTTCGAGGCCTTATCCAGCCTGGCTTTTAACCCTGCCAGGGTTGAGGCATCCAGAACTTCCTTGAGCAATCTGTTCCAGGGTCTAACCACCCTCACAGTAAAAACTCCCTTTCTAACATTTAACCTAAGCATCTTCTAATAGCTAACCTAAATTTCTTCTCTTTCAGTTTGTATCCATTACTTCCTGTCCTGTCCTCCTGTCGTAACTGACAAAGTCCCTCTCTGGTTCCCTGTAGGCCCCGTGAGATATTTGAAAGTTGCTCCACACAGCCTTTTCTTCTCCAGGCTGAGCAGCCCCAACTTTCTCAGCCTGTCTTCATAGGGCAGGTGCTCTTACCAACTTCCTGACCCTCCTCTGGACTTGCTGCAACAGTTCCATGTTACTCTTATGTTTAGGACCCCAGAACTGAATGCAGTAGTCCAGGTTGGGTCTCACGAGATAAACAATGAAAGATAACTCACATTTCGTTATACCTAATGGTCCTAGATTTCTGTTTCATCTGTGCTGCCTGGCTGCTTCATTTATGTACATTGACTTTACTGTATGGCGGAACAACATGTCATTTGTTCTTACTATCCTTTGTGGGGCTTTGCCCAGCTTGAACGTCTGGGCAGATTTCATTTTACCTCTGCACTCCTTGAATACTGTTGTGATTTGGGGTTTGGTTGTAGTTTTTAATTGCTGAAGGCTTGTTTATTTCTACACTTATTCAACCTACTTAGCCTTGGAAAAGCTGTTTCTACTATGAAACTTTTAGGAAACTAACTGGAAGAAATACCAGGCTATTTTGTCTGGATTTTATAAAGAATTAGTTAGGAATAATTTTCCCCATGTGAATTTAGACACCGATTTTCAGTCATACTTCGTTATTCCATCTAATTTACTTGAAATTAGTTTGTCATTAGTTGACTTTAGCTTGTTTGCTATGACAAGGTCTTCTGTGCTATTGCTGTTTTCCAAGGTTAAAATGTGGTTTTGATTCATTAAGGAAAAAATTGGTTGAACCTAGAGATGTCTGAGCTGTACTGTCAGAAGTTTCTCTTCTCTAACTTAAGAAAAAATAATCATAACACAGTCATAATTTACTAGTCTGTGGTTAAGAACTTTACTAATACAATATCCTTACCTTTGTGGTACCTTTGTGCTAGTTAAGACTGTGCCCAGAGATGTTCCAAACACAGGTGCCTGATAGCACAGCACAGTCCATGTCAGCACTCAATTCCTTACTTCCAAACAGGTTTGCTGTGTGCAGCCTGCCTTGTGGGAATGTCACCTGAAGCATGTGAATTAAAAAAACCATGCTAAAGAGTTACTTGTGAATAAAATGAGCCATATTCATATTAGAGAAAAATTTACCAGTTTATTAGTGTAAACTCTACTGGTTTTGAGTTTGGGGCAAGTCTCCCAGGAACATCTGGGTCTATGGTTGGAGATACCCTCTCATAATAATGTTTTGCATAGTTACTTGAGGCATGCTATTCTTGTTTGTTTAAACTGCAAAAATATAACACCATTTTTTTCATGTATTTCCAAAAACATTTCTGAATTTTTAATTATTATTTTTATATTATGTATCTGCATTATTTCTATTATTCATGTTTCTAGTATAGCCCTAGCTTTGCTTTGAGTTCCTCCATTGTATTGTCTGGACTCTGTATTGTTTGTCTTCAGACACTCAATTGTCTTTCATCCATTTGTGGGCTAGCAAACTGAATAAACATAGGTCTGTCATTGTTTTCAGCTGCCCTGATCAAATGCTTGTGTAGTGCATTTATGCAGCCAAAAAACAAGGCTGGTGATTACAAGTCTTTCCCAAATATCAGTGACTGAGGCCTGTCACAGCAGATGAGAGAAACCTGCAAATAGCAGTTTTTTTCTCATGGACAGATACCACTAAATCATTTCTGTGTACACTCTTAATAAATCTTTATCTTTGCGATCATTTTTGATATCTTCTTACCATAAGGCTGAAAAGGTGGGAGAAAATAGGAGAAGTCTACTGAGGAAACCTTTTCTTTGTCAGACTGAGGTGGACATGGTGGCATAAATCATCCTATGCAGCCTGTTAACTTGAGCCTTGGTTTCCCATATCCTCATGTGAAGTGCCATCAATGACTGCTTTCATTTTCCATTCAAAATCCTGTTTTACATCTAGTCACTTTATCATCTAGCAGATAAAGCAACATTTTTTCCTCCATGTTGCAGACCTATTATTTCTTAGCCATTGGAATGTTATGAAAATCTTAATCACTCTGGTCAAATTGTTCTTCCTTTTCTTGCCTTTTTGTGGTGTCATATCTGTTTTTATTGTGCAAGCTCTTCACGTTTTCCCTCTCTTCTTGAGTGACTTCCTGCTTCTTTCCTTTTCATTGCAACTTGTTTCAGTCTTATACTGCTTTTGTCTGTAGCAGGCACTTTGCTCACCTCATCTTTATTCAGCTATTTTCTCAGCCAGTAACTACATGTTTAAGGTACTGTTTAGAAAATTCCTGCCCTTTTTTCTAGTTATAGCCTCATTTTGCTTATCACTGACTGCATCCAAAGATTTGTCAGGACTTTAGCGTTTGTTTCAGCTGTTGCTCCAGTTCTTGAATCCTCTTTTTAATGAGTTCTGATGTGTGATGTGTCAGGCAGTTACAGTGCATTTTGACTCTGTAACTCCTGTAGTACCAGTTTCCCTAAGAGAAACATTACGGCTACTTGTACTATGTTTCCAGAGCTCTTATGATTCTGCACATTGACCATAACTGTGCTTCAAAGTGGAGAAAAAGACATCCTTGTGTCTAAAAGCACACAATATCTAGAAGATACGTTTTTCAGGATTTGTAGAAAAAAAATCTTACTAAATCGAATGAGTAGTATCAGGCTAGCTACTTTTTTCTTTTTCTCTTGCTAAAAAACAAGAGGGTTGGTGGGATTTTGGTAACATGTTTTTCTTAGCTTTCACTTTGGCCAAAATAAATTCTGTCTTTAAAGAGAATGTTGTATTTGCTTTTGCCTTCTTGAATTCTTATTTCAGAGAGTCATTTCTGCCCAAACCTATGGTTTGGTTGTTTTTCATGTTTGGTTTTTATTATTACTAATGTTATGTTTTTTTCATCGTTTAGGAGGATACAGCAACTGGAAGCCTCCAGTGCATTGCAAAATTTACAACTATCTTAACAGAATTGGATGTTTTTTTCTTCATCCACGTTGCAGTACCAGAAGAGAAGCAGCAGACTTTGCTCTCTGTGTTCATGTAAGTTAGAGCACACTTGCTTTATTGTTGTGTCCTGTACCCAGGATATTGTTGTGTCCTGTACCCAGGATATTGATGTTAGGTGCCAATTGGAGATGACGTTCTTAGATTCTTTTCATGAGACTTCTGTGTTCACTGTAAGGAATGATAAACCTGGATTGGTTGGAGACAGATAGCCAAGAAGTGATTTAAAAATTAGCCCAAACAGCACAACAGTCTTTTGGAGAGGGGGAAGAGAGCTGGTTAGGAAATGATGATAAAAAAGCCTATACTTCTTACAGTTTCTCTATTAGAGTGAAATGTGACTTCATCTCTCTTCAAGGAGCCCAAATGTCAAGCCATCTTTACAATGGAATTGAATGGTTTCACAGGTTTCACATCTCTCTTCAAGGAGCCCAAATGTCAAGCCATCTTGACAATGGAGTTGAATGGTTTCACAGGTTTCACAGACCCTGCTGAGCTGACAGAGCAGTGCCTTTATTCAATAGACCTTGAGCTTTGGCAGGGTTGGGGATGTGCAGGTGAAGAATGGGAATCTGGGATGCCATGGGGACTCACGTTCCTAAAGTAGAATCATAGTATTGTTAAGGTTGGAAAAGACCTTTAAGACCAGCAGGTCCATCCATCAACCCAGCAGTACCACCATCATTAAGCCATGTCCTTGAGTGCCATATCCACGTGATTTTTGAACACCTGATGTGGATGGTGACTCCACTGGTTCCCTGGGCAGCCAGTTCCAATGCTTGGCAGCCCTTTCAGTGAAAATGTAAACCTTCTCTGGTGCAGCTTGAGGCCATATAGTGCTTTATCAGTTAGATATAATTACTGTCTATAAAGCACATTTTGCAGCAGTGGTTGTATGATTTATGACGCCTTTTATGTTACTCTTTAAATGTTCTGCACAAAAGACTTGCTTTATGTCAAGACACTTCTAAAATGCTGCTTTTTAGGAATTTGTCCCATACCCCATTTGTATTGTTCTGGTAGCCATTACCTGTATCGATTGTACCTAGAGAAGAAATGAGCATCAAAATTTTGAAATAGTGCTTTTCACAGTGATGTAACATGGCTTGGCTCATAAAAGCAGGAATGAATTGCTGTAGAAAACTTTCCAGTGAAGACTTGTCTTGCATAAAGCTAGCCAAATGCCATGAAGTAAAAACATGATCTCTGTTCAGTGCTTGTCATTTGTTTCCCTGTAGGCTGGTCGTCTGGATGAGCACCTGCCCAAGCAAATTCCTTTCACTGTACTTTCTGGAGACAAAAGCTTCCTGGAGCTGGAAAACCAATTTAAAATGACTCAGCGGTCAGCTTGCATCCTGAATCCTCACCAGATTGAAGGAGACATGATGTGTGCCTTGCTAAACAGCATTTCAGATACCACAAAAGGTAGAAAGTAAACATTAAACACAAATTTTCCAGTAACTGATAGTTCTTTCCAATAAAAAAAAAAACAGAAAACCTACACTGGTAACATAAGCTGTTGCTTGGTGCTTCTTGTATTGTGGTGGTATTTCAGCGAATAGTAGATCAGCAAATCATTATACTTGAGGCATGTTTTGAAAACACAAATTAAGCATTTTTATCATTATAACAAACTCTGTCATCCCTGTAGTCTTTATTATAGCAGGAGACAAAAATTACATTTCAGTCTGAAAACTCCATTCTGGTTAAAGCTGTTTAAAGCATTCTTGTTTGCATATTAATCAGTTTGTACTCTAATCTTTTTGTCTCAATTTATGCTGTGTCTGAAACAAATGTGACCCTGCTAAAGCATCATTATTTCTCAAAATATTTCTGCCTTTTTTAACTCTGACCTCCTGGCTACTTGGTATCATTTGGTAATTGTCTTCATTGGCACATGACTCACACATCCATTTGGTGAAAAAATCTCAGTGGAAGTTTTTAAGACCTCTCAAGTGCCAGATGTTAAAATGATCACATTGGTTTTATATAGGATAAGCGAACAGCATTGAGCCAGCTCGTTTTCATGCAAAGAGTACCAGAGCTGAGATGAGTTTTAACACTTGTCAGTATTTTAAAGTATTTTCATGTTTTCCTAGAAGACCTGGCATTTCTCTGTAGAGATGTTTTTGCTTTTCCTGGTTTCTTGTTGCGGTTTTGGAATGTTGTAAGTTCAGGGCATATTACAGAAAGCTGTTTCTGAACTAGGCCTAAACTGTCTCTTGAAAAAATACACTGCTAGTCTTGATACAGGTTTATGAGAACGATCAAATGGCACTGCTGTTCCACCAAGAAAATTAAAGTGAAGTGCTAGCTCTGAATGGTGAATTGGCACTGATTTATTAAATAGGAAAGAAAAGATAATAAAGTAGTTTTCCAAAAAGGATAATTTGTGGTGAGCTGGMCTTTATTAAAATACTTTTAATACARAAGAGGTGCTTATAGAGTTTTCTGRCCACCTSAGGCATTTGCTGATCTAGATTTTTCAGATGGATTATGGAGATATTCCCAGCCACAAGCAAACAGATTAGCAAAATTTCTTGGCATAGGTAATTACAAAATTGTCACTTTCATTGATGGAGTTAATTTTTGCAGTGCCGAAGCATTATCCATAAAGCTACACCTCCCCTGGTATCAATAAAGGCTGGGGGATAACTGATCCACATCAGCCCTGCCAAGTGGGACTTGGGGGTGCTGGTGGATGAGAGKCWGAACACGACCCAGCAGTGTGCACTTGTAGCACAGAAWTCCAGTTGTRTCCTGGGCTGCATCCAAAGCAGTGTGACCAGCAGGACAAGGGATGGGCTTCTGCCCCTCTGCTCTGCTCTGCTGAGACCACACCTGCAGTGCAGCATCCAGCCCTGGGGTCCCAGCACAGGGGGAACATTAAACTGTTGGAACATGTCCAGAGGACGCCTCAAAGATGGTCAGAGGGCTGGAGCACCTCTCCTGTGAGGAGAGGCTGGGAGGGTTGGAGTTCTTCAGCCTGCAAATGAGAAGGCTTTGGGGTGACCTAATTGCAGCCTTCCAGTACCTGAAGGGAGTCTACAGGAAGGATGGAGAGGAGCTTTGTACAAGGGCATAGAGAGGTAGGACAAGGGGTGATGGCTTTAAACTGAAAGTTTGTTTAGATTAGATATTAGAAAGAAATTCTTTCCTGTGAGAGTGGTGAGGTGCTGGAGCAGTTTGCCCAAAGAAGTTGTGAATACCCCATCCCTGGAAGTGTTCAAGGCCAGGTTGGAAGGGGCTTTGAGCAACCTGTCTTTTGGAAGGTGTCCTTAACAATCGCAGGGAAGTTGGAGATAGATAATCTTTAAGATCCCTTCCAATCCAAATCATTCTGTGATTCTGTGCATTGTTGCATTCCCAGTACAAATATTTTCTTTTAGAGTGTATTAAAATTCTGAGACTGAGAGATCTCTTATAATGTAATTAGAACTGTGTAATTGTGTCTCAATGTGGGTGGCTGTTTTTGCTTTGTGAACTTTATATTTTTTGGGAAGAAGAGTTGGAAGAGAGCTGTAACTTGCAAGCAGTTGATTTAATTGTATGGGCTTAATTTCTTGTATAATTTGTGCAACTTAATGATATGAGACAGTGAGGAGAGGGGAATGACTATTTTGCTATATAAGGGTACTTTAGCTCCTTGCCTGGGTAGTTTTTCTAGTATAGTTTTCTTCACTGGTATATGGTGGCTCAAAGGTGATGGCTTTGATCTAACCACTTTCTGTGTATAAACTGTACTCCAGATTTCTTTTTGTATTGGTCTTACTTTCAAAAGCTTCCTAATTTTACCCTTTTTTAATGTCCTTTACTACATTAATATTTAATTTACTATTATGTTGATTGGCTTTACTCAGAGGCTGCAAACTTTAACTTGCTGGCTGGTTGATCCTTGTGCATTCCACCTAAGTTTTCATGTGATCACTCTGAAAAAAAAATCTTTGAGCAGGAAATTGATGGGATGACACGATTCCTTTGGCTGTTGGCATTCCCTAGCAGACTTGTGAGGAACAGAATTTTCCCCTTTTTAGTCAGTGTCAGCAAGGGGGGGCCTGGATAGCAAGACCTGACTTTGTCCTCTCTTCCTGTACAAAAACAGAACATTAGAAAATTCACTGTTGATAACAGGTCTGCATTCACTGCATAATGAGATCATGTTGTTACCAAGAATTTATAAAGTATTTTTTTAAAAAGATAAAGCCACTACGTAATACACACATAGTGTGTAGCTCAGCAGCATCAGCTGTCATTTGCAAGTCCTAATGTGGCAAAACCAGTATTGGAGTGTTGAGATGGAAAGTTGTGCAGTGTATCATAGGCTGGTATAACTTGTTGGCCTGTTACAGCAAAGCAGCTGAGTATAAGGAAATGTGAACAAGAATTGCTTGCTTTGTGACTTTCTCAAGCCTGTGGCTGTTATTCTGGAGAGTGAAATAAGTGAGAAACACAACAGAGAATCACGTTAAAAGTATCAGCCTGTTGCTGGTGTTGGATGAGCTGCAAAAAGAAAAAGCTCTTTCCCTGAATCACCCTCACAGAGCTATCATTAGCTTCTGAGCAGCTGGATTGTGTTTGGATGTGCAATCAGACAGGTGCATCTTATGAACCATTTTACCACATCAGCAGAGCTGCTGTGAGAACTGTGCTACTGCATTAATTTAAAAATAAATAAATACAAGCTCCTGGATATGTTTCAATATGATACCAACTGTATGTTGCTATTGGAAACCCTTGGCTGGAGCAAATGCATGAATTTCCTTTGAGGTATGGAAAGAGTAGGGAAGTGGTGTATTCCTGTTTGCTCTCTGCTGCTGCTCAGCTTGAGTTCATAAACAAAGACGGTTTTTATTTTTATATTGAAGCCACAATACATGGTGGGAGCTTCCATTCATGTTAATCGAGTGGTTTGGGAAGGGCAGAAGAGAAGAGTTTTCAGTATCTTTTGTAACAAAAAATTTGTAGTGTGCAGAAAAACGACATTATTCCCTTGTCCATGTCTTCATGTCCTATAAGTTGAAAGTACAGAAAATACACTTTTAATGAGTGCTGGACAATGTGGAGGGCAGAGTTGATGGTAGGTTGCGGTCATCATGTCCATCCAGACACTGACAGGAATGCCACGACCTTCGGGTGACAAGTTATTTTTGTGTAAGTTGATGACTTTATCTTAACTATAATTTTCCCAGTTATGTTCAAATGAGATCCTTCAGTGACCGAGCTCATAATAATAAGAACAATTCTTTTCGAGTATTTCTTGTCCTTTCTTTTGAAGAGCCTGTCAAAATCAGTGATGTACTGAATGCAGTGTTGTCTGCCAAATAGCCACTGTACCTCTTTCACTGACCCATAAAGTACATTTCAGTGTGCTCAAGTGGAGTTATCTGCCTGCCTTTTCAATCTGCTGCTCTTGCCTGAAGTCTTTAAATTCTATCAAATGCAGCTTCTGTGAGAAGTTTTCATATTTGGAAAAGCAGGATTTCAGTTCATTTTGATGAATACTGCTAAGCTTCCTAGATCCTACTATCTCCAAAAACTTTTGTTTTACAATACAGCCAACAAAAATTTAAGAGAACATAAGAATTCATTTATAGAAGACATTGAGAAGAGTTACTTTCTTCCTCTGTAGTCAAGATTTTTGTGGGTGAAAGTCCATGTGCTGTCGAATTTGAGGTCCAGTATGAATGCCACATCTGTCCCCTTTCTGCTTTTTCCAAACCTTCCGTTAGCACAGACTGCAAATGACGAAAGATCAGTCACAGCCTCCAGCCCCCACTTCTCAAAGAAACTGGATGCGAAGGGCATGAGAATCTGCACTGTGGAGCACCATGAATGAATTATAGTTTCTGTAGTAGGAATATATTCCTCTGTTACAGCAGCCAGAGCTTGTTGCAGAAGAGAGTGATGAGGAAGTGACCCTTCAATCGTAACCTTGTGTTTAGCTACAACAGGAAGTTACTACTGGGTTTGGTATGTCAGTGGCATATCTTCTGTGCATCTGTGGATGTGTGTACATGCCCTAGGGAAAAAGCAGTGTACTAAGATCTAGGATAATGAGTCTGAACAATTGCAGGCCATTGGCTGAACTGGGAAGACCTCACCTCTCAGATCATACAAAAAAATCCTCGAGGTTTAGCTTAAATCTGTTTTTAAGAGGTGTCTAAGATGAAGGTTAGGTGAAAGTCTGAGTCGCCATCATTATATTGGCCACAGTTTCCAACAAATGCAATTGGAAGAGAATGAAGGCTTGAGAAGTCCATTTTTATTTGTGCTACACTTGTATGAGCAGATAGATGAGCAACTGTAGGCAGAGATACAGAGAGTGAAGCTTGTTTGCATGGAGGAGGAGAGGTCTTGGTGATGAAGACCCTCAGCAGGGAGCTGCTGTACTTGCATTTACAGATGGTGTTACCTTAATGAAGAAACAGAGATTAGAGCAGTAAGTATAGGGGAAGAGTATGTGGGAAGGATCCTCCAGGGACATATTAGAAAAGGAATAAGAGAAAATATTCTAGAAGCCATGAGAACAGTATTTTAAAGGCAGCATAGCCCCACAAACCAAACAGGATTCCTGACAAAGGTAAGGGTGGGGTACGGATTTTAAGTTTTTGGCTAAGTAATTACTGGCATTCTGAACGAAGTAACAAATGGTATCCATAAGGTAGGACTAAAACACCAGACACCAGGTGTAAAAGGAAAAGGGTCAATGGTCGGAGAGACAGTGACTCAAGTGTGGTGTGAATGCTGCTGTACATGGGAATGGAAAAGAGGCAGGTGAGACTGGGAGTTACTGAAAAGACTAAGAGAAGTATTGTAGGAGAGAAGTGGAGATGGGTGTGAGACTGTACAGTAGACAGGAGGTGTGTTGTGTGGTAAGGAAAAGCAGGATGAAGGCTGAGAAGAGAAATTGGGTCTCTGGTGAGACAGAGGAACTGGTAAACCTGATGGAAATTATGAAATGGATGGTGGTACCTGGGGAGGGTGCAAGAGAAGAAGATCGGATATTGGAGAGGTACCAGGAGTTACCCTGAGTTGTGTGGGCAACTAATCCAAATTCAAGTTGTAGTGTTTTTGTGGCAAGACAGTGGGTGGCGCTTAAGTTCTGTGGAAGTTACCAGTCTCTCCCCAGAAGAGGTTTCTGAGAGACTTATGAAATGTCAAAAAAATCACTCTGAAATGTATATTCATCTAAAGTTTGCTGTCCTGTTTTCTCATTCTTCCAGCTGGAATATGTCAGTATGTGAGGACAATAGTGAGCCATAGCATTTCTTTTGAAAGAACAGGTGCAGTCAGAGGTTCTTAGCTGATGTTAATTTGACAAAATGTACTAGAGAATAGTACAAGGTATCCTAAGATCTCTTGACTCTGAATCTGGGCAACTGCTTTTCCTCTGACCCCAGAGGAGTTGGGAGCTGTAGCATGTGCAGAGCATTTTAACGAGAGAGACAGGATATGCCTGATTTCTCAAAATTAAACAACCTTATTAGAAGATGCCAGCAGTATCAGGAATATATATTGATGATGTGTGGGCTGGATGAGAAAACTGAGGGGGGTTGAAAATTGGCTGAACAACCAGACCTCGAACATGGTGATCAGTGGCATGAAGTTCAGATGGGGGTCAGGAACCACCTGTGTACCTCAGAATTTAGTACTGGGGCTGATCCTGTTCAATGTGTGTTAATAACCTAGATGATGGGGCAGAGTATACCTACAGCAAGTGTGTTGATGGCACAAAACTGGGAATGGCAGTTCATATGCCGGAGGATTCTGCTGCCATCCGGAGGAACCTTGACAGGGAAGAAGTGGGCTGACGGTGAACCTCATGCAATTCCACAAAGGAAAATGCTGAGTTCTGCTTCTGGTTAGGAACAGCCCCAAGCATCAATATGTGCTGACCAGGTGTCAACCAGCTGGGAAATGGCTTTGTAGGAAAGGACCTGGGGTCTCTGGTGGACAACAAGTTGACCATGAGCTAATGTGTGTTCCAGCCAGCAGTACTCTGGGCTGCATTAGGAAGATTGTTGCCATCAGGTGATCCTTTCACTTTACTCAGTAGGGTCATAACTAACAAGTTTGGAGCTCCCCTCTACATTGTCTTTCTGGTAATAACTGAAGGCTGTCTGGACATAGTCCTGGGCAGTCAGCTGTAGATGATTCTGTTTGAGCAGGGAGGCTGGACAGTGTGATTTCCAGAGGTCCCTTCCAATCTCCACCATTCTGTGACATTGTCTGATCTGTCTGGTGGCATTTTATGATGGAGAGACTGCAGTGGTTGACAAGGGAAAGCTGTGATGTCACCTATCTAGATTTCTGTAAGGCCTTGRCACAGTCCCACATGACATCCTTATCTCCAGATGGGGGAGATGGGGATTTGATGGATGGACTTGTCAGTGGATAAGGAATTGGCTGGATGGACATAGCCAGAGGGCTGTGGTCAGTGGCTCCATGTCAAAGCAGAGGCTGGTGACAAGTGGTGACCCTCAGTACTCTTGGAACTGGTGCTCTTCAGTATYTTCCTTAGTGACACAGACAGTGGGATTSAGGGCACCCTCAGCAGATGACATGAAGCTGAGCAGTGCAGYTSACACACCTGAAGGACAGGATGTCATCCAGGGAGACCTGGACAAACTTGGGAAGTGGGCCCATGAGAACCTCATGAAGTTCAACAAGAMTAAGGRCAAGGTGCTGCACCTGAGTAGGGGTAATTCCAGACATGRGTACAGCCTGGGAGAAAAGCTCCATGAGAACAGACCAGTGGAGAAGGATTTGGGGGCTCTCATGGAGGTCGGACATGAACCAGCAACGTGTAGTCACAGCCCATAGGGCCAACTGTATCTTGGGCTGCATCAAAAGCCAGCAGCACAAGGCAGGGGATTCTGGCCCTCTGCTCTGCCCTTGTGAGTCCCCACCAGGAGTGCTGTGTCCAGTTCTGGGGTCCTCAGCACAARGAAGAYGTGGATCTGTTTGAGTTGGTCCAGAGGAGGGCACAAAGATTATCTCCTACAAAGAAAGGCTGGGAGGGTTGTGGTCGTTCAGCCTGGAGAAGAGACAGCTCCGAGGAGACCACATTGTGGCCTTCCAGTATTTAAAGGGGGCTTATAAAAAAGAGGGACTTTTTATGTAGGCAGATAGGGACAAGACAAGGGAGAATGTTTCATACTAAAAGAAGAAAGATTTAGACCAGATGGTAGGAAGAAATTAGCACTTGAAGGATAGGAAGACACTTGACCAGTTCCCTGGAAGTGTTTTTATATTATGTGTACTTATACCAGGAAATAAGTTAGGGATTGATTGTGTCATCTGTTCCACCTCTAACAGGTATAAGACCTTTTTAGAGCAGTCTGAGGTGTCTTCCAAGCTGGAAGATTTAAAAGATAGTTAATAAGGGAGAAGCCATTTGTGAAAAGCCTTTCCTTTGCACTTTTTCCTCCCTTTCATTAGTAATTGTTATGACTGCTTTTGGAGGTGGAGGGGGTGTGGATTTTTCTTTTCTTTGTTTTGTTTGCTTTGGAAAATGATGTAAAAGTTAGTATCTCTTTAGCCCCAAAATGGTAGGCAACTCCAAAAAGTGTTCACAGTCAGTCTGCCAAGTGAGTTCAGAGAGACCATGTTAACTGCAGTGTATATCTAGCTATTTCTGGCATCTTTTCGGGCTGCTGATCGCTGTTTAACACCATCTGTTGGAATTTTTATTCCTATTTATTGGAAAGTCAGCAAGGTTGCTGTTCAAACAGGTTACATGTCAGAGGTTTGAAAACAAATTTTGGAAAGTGAATATAGGAATACCTAAGTTGGGTAATTTAAAATGCCAGAAGTCACACAGTCAGTAAATTAGATGGCCATATCGGAATGTTCTTTACTGGTTAATGTAATCTGAAGTACATTAATATATTAATAAATGTGATGACTTTAAGGGGCATGCTTCTGTTGGTATGACTGTAGGAGACCTTGTTGATTGCTCATACTGTAAGACCTCATTACAGAGACCATCTCCCAAAATAGCAATAGCCTGTAGCAGGAGGAGAATGAATGCATAACRTGACTCATTGGCTTGGTTTTTAACCTGTACTTTACTCAGGCTCTGTTTAATGGGGAAAGAAACAACCAGCAAAAAAGTAAGTGAAACAAAACCCCTCACCACCTTAAGTACACAAATCCCCRCTAGACACTTCAAAATAGAGCCATCCTTCTGGAGCTGGAAACCAGCCTTGTGAAGAGGGTTGTTAAGGGAAAGGTAATGGAGTTTTGGCTGGGCTGGGTTGTGATAAATTAACAGATTAAACTGAGTGCATCAACTTTCTGCTAATATAAGACTTGCATAGCAACATCTACTGAATTGCAGTGCTCTGTTGAGTTTTAGCACTCCATTGTTCAAATGCAGGTTTTGGGCAATAAAATACAGCTGCAGTCATGTGTAGGCAGAGATGCGCTAAGGCCCTTCTTCCCATAATTAAATCCTTGRTGCATTTTATAGAAAGTAATTTATAGAAAATGAGTAATTTATACTTATATTTCACTTATAGAAAGTGAGTAATTTTTTTAATAACTGAATATAACAAAAAAAAAACCACAAATGCAGTCAACGCAGTAGCTTCTGCACCTATTATTTCTTGTTACTGCTTTAACATAATAAAAAATCGAAGCCATCTACCTGTAGATTATGGGGAGAAGGGGAGGAAGGTAGCTGAAAATAACTGCCTCTTGAGTGGCTGCCTTAAGCTACCAGTGGAATGTATTTTTATCTTGATTTTTTTAGATCATAACAAGTGTACTCTTCAAATTGGTTGTTACAGCATGAGAATTGCAAGAGAGGCTGTTAACATCTTTATTAGAAACAACGTGTAATTTATATCTCATTTGTGCATTTAAGGTTCAGATAGTGAAGAGGATGAAGATATGAAAGAAACAATGAAGAGGAGCTTAGAAGAAATAAACAAACAGGAAGGTCTGTTAATTTTTACTTTTCTGTGTTCAAGAGTGCTATTAATTACGGAAGATACAGAAACTAAACTTACAATCAGTTTTACAGCAAGTKACCTCTTAGGAATACTCTCTAAACTATGCTGGGCAGTCTTTGAGTAGTGAAGAATGTTGTGATGAATTATAAATAAAAAAATTACTAACCTGCGAAGAATGCCAGCAGACTGAAAATCTGTTTCATTGGGGCACCACAGGGTACTGAGCAATTAAAGACTTGACTGAGTTTACTTTGTAGCAGTTTAATATGACTGTGTTATYTCAGAGTAGAACTGTTGAATAAATAGCTGAACTTCTGAATAAATAGTTCAAGATTACATATAATTTCTCAGTAAAACACTCTGGTCTCCTAAAAGAGTTGTAGATTTATGCACAAGGTTTGAATCAGCAGCACATTTTTTCACGTCTTATCTTAGTTTATTCTAAATTGTTTTCATCATTTTGCTGTTGTGCTTACTGGTGCTGTCCAATGTAGGCATGCATTTTTGGTGACAGACCACAGTGTAGTTTGAAAGTAATTTATTGTGGAAAGGCTTGATTCTGCCCCTCCACCTAATGKAAGTAAACTAAAAGAAACTAAAAAGCTGTAGATGCTCAGTGRTAAAACTGATAACTGAATCCTACTTTCCCAGAATTTATTCAGTTACAAGTTTACCAGCTGTTTCTAAAAGCTGTTGTTAAATGTCCAGTGTTCATCTCCAGCACTGAAAGTTTAGTACATTCAGGTCCCGCAGTACTGGGATAGAGTGGCATTTGGTGCATACAGGAGGTCCCACTTCTAATGCTGCAGTGCAGAGGTATCTGACCTTACGGAGCAGCCTGGCTTCAGATGAGTCACAGTTTGGAACTTATTCTGGATTTTTGTACAGGCTTAAATGACAACATATTTGAATGCAAGCAGTTGTCTGCAAGTGGTTTTCTGTCTTTGTTTGGTTTTGTCTTTGTTTGTATGCGTGACCATGTAATGCTTTTCTTTAAGAAACTCTCTTTTGTCATTAGTACTGGATATTACAGGAAAGTCCAGGTGCATTAGAGCAGTCACTGATATGATCTCTCTTCCAAATCTCATTTTTGCATTAAACAGTCCAACAATTATTAAAGTTTTAATTTTTTTTCTTTTTTTCATACGAACAAACAGCTCAATTTTATATAATGTGCTTGTGTCCTCCTAAAGCAGAATATAGTTCATGAGTGATAGTGTGTCTGAAATCGGCTTTAATTTTCCTAGCTATACTATTGATATTATATTTGCTGTGTATACAGACCTTGTCTAACTTAAAGTATTTGATCACTAACACCAAGCAATTAGTGCCCAAAAAACCTAAGTGTATTGCAAAAATAGAGGTTTTTTTAATATAATAAAAGTTGTTTGAGAGTTGTTAAGAAGTCAGATGAGTGCAATGCAGTTTTCCTCCCCACCATCAAAACTATTATAGCCCTGATCTGAACTATTCTTACTGTTGATAATGACTTTTTATCTACTTGTCTGGCTTACTTAGTAAGAGTGACAACACTGGTGCCAATCAGAATGTAGGTATGGGTAAGGAACTGGAATGAAAATACTGAAACCTCTCTGCTCGTTATGTATGTGTGTTGTTTGTTTAAATACTTGTTGGTGCATACATACAAGTTCTAATCTTGCTATTATTTTGGGCAGTATATACACAATTGCATTATGGTCTTAAAGTAATGTTTGGSCTGCTCTTAATTAATACAGTGGAAGGTTGTAGAGATGTTTTCCATATTCTGTAGTGTTGAAAGGACAGCATAAAACAGCAGAGAAAATATTTTCATCTGTGTCTCAGGGTTTTTATTACAGTCTGCTGACATACCCACAAAAGTAAGTTCGTGCTTTATGTAGTAATATTAAGGTAGTTGTGTTTATGGCTAGTTATCAGTCAAAGTTTGAGATTATAACCTTGTTTTATTTATGCAGGACTGCAAGGTGCAGGACTGCAAGGTGCAGGACTGCAGGATGCAGAACTTCAGGATGCAGAACTGCAGGATCCAGAACTGCAAGAAGCTATCAAAAGGAGCCTTGAGGAAATGTAAATGAAGATACTTCAGTACACTAACACCATGTTATTGGAACTGCTCACAAAAATGCAAGCTTGCTCATCTATTTACAAGGTTTCAGAAATACCACTTTAAAAACATGTCTGTATCTGGAATTGTTGATTTATAATCTGATTTCCTCTGTCATACTGATAGACAGTTGGAGTTTATTCATATTCATGGCAATGTATTCTGTTTGATTAAAAATAAATTTTTGAGCCTTTTCATATTTGTTCTAATGGGTGATGAGTAAGTCTCTCCAATTTAACTGTTTAAGTGGTTGCCCAGTTAGTAGGCTGGTCTTACTAGGTATTTTGGGGTTCCTGGTTGTGCAGGGGTTTGGTTTTTTAAATTGTTCTTGTATTTAAYTTTTCTTGTCACAAAATGTCATTGTCTTTATTTACTTTTTCAGGTGGCCTTTGCAACAGATAAAAATAGTAAACTCCAGTTATCTCAGATTTGCGTGGCTAATCTTGTTATAAAGAGAAGCTTAGATCCCAGGTTTGTTGAACATATGGCCTAACTCTTGCCTGTGGCTGGTCTCACTTCATAGGCCATAATTTTGTCTCTATCCTGTTTGTTATAAATGTCAGAATCAGGACCACAGGCTGTACTGTTAGTTTGCCGCTTTATTTTTATAAATTTGTTCGTTTTTTCAATAGTGGTAGACTACTTGGATTTGATGGCTTATAGTTTGATTAGTTCAGTGTTTCTCCCTTACCTGAGGCAGGAACAACCTTTTAAGAGAACAGAATCTAAATAAATTTCCTAGTGTCTGTTTCAAATGATGTGAGATTTAAACTGTAATATTTCTATATACTATGGTCTTTGCTCTCTTCCATTCATGAAGAGGTAGGATTGGATAAATTAATGTAAATGTACTAATTATTTTTGTACTGTCCTTATTTTAAGTGACATTTCTTCTGTGTTTAAAATTATCTGTGTCATCTTTCTCACTTTTGTTTAAAAATTTCTATGCAAACTGTCCTGCTTTACCAGCCTGTTGTACTTCAGTTAATGATTGCTGTCAATCAGTAAGAAATCTCAGTGTAATAAAATGCCAGCTTAATTCTTTTTTATAATTCACTCACTCTGCAAGTTTGCTTCTACCTTCTGTATCCCTAAATACTTACTATGCAAGTGGATACTTTTTGTGGAGAATAAGATGCAGAGAAGGGTGGATTTTTCTCACTATTCCAAAGAGTCAGCATAACTACAGCTATTTGTCATCATGGTTAGAAAAGCTGGAAGACTGATACTGGTTTATTTTCAATCATGACTGATATAATTGCTATCTCTGAAGCAAGTAGCTTTAATGAATAATCTAGTGAGGTATCTCAGCACTCATTAGCAATCATACAGCCTGAAGAAACTGTTCAAATGCCAGAAAATAGTTTGAGCACTTACAGTGCATTTGAGTGTGACTCCCAAGTGTTACAGGGTGAACAGGACYTCTTCATGCTTTTCCCTTGTGCCTGCTGCTGGTCTTTCTACTGCCAGACTTGGATTAATTGTACTCCTCAGATSAAATCTAGGTGTGTAGTTCATAGTGCTGCTAGGAAAGCCCTATTTTGGGAGATTTGGAATTGCCTTTGGCTACAAGCTAAATCAGTTCCAGAATTTTTCCCACCAGGTGCTTCTGTTAAAGGGTGGAATGAAACAGAAAACAATTTTCATCCTCAAAACCATCTCTGTCCAAGTTATAGAAGCTTTTGGGAATTTCTTTTTCCATGTAGATCCTAAAGTTTCAAATTCCTTTCACATGAAAACATGCTTTAGAATTTTGAGAAAATACTTTGGCTCAATGGTGTTTAAAACCTGGGTAGATCATCTTCTCCAAAGTCTGCTATGTTAGAATTTGATTATGTGCTTTATTTCTCATAACATTTTGTTCTGTCATAAATATCAAGTTTGCTTGTACCTGATGGGCCATGACTTAATTGGTTGCGTTAAAAAAAAAAAAAAAAAAGTCCTGTGTATACTCATATTCTGTATACTTGAAGCTCCACTTATTAAACATATTGTATTGGCTTTGTCATCTGCTTACCAAAACAAGGAGCAAATCCCAACCATTGCTGCTTTGGCTTTTAAAAAGCAACTAAATAAGAGTTCCAGTTTCTCTATGATTTTTATGATAAAAGTAGTCTTCAGAATTAGCAATGTCTTGAAATTCGGCCTCATTTTCCTTGGTCTCTTTGAGGTTCTCTCTTAACTCAAATTTTTCTTTGTGAAGTTTTCTGCCATTACAAGCTCGTGATACTTCTGTTTCCAGAAGAGCAGAGAAAATTGGATCCTTTAAACGTTGCGTGTACAGACATGTGACTTGTTACTCACCAGCATCTTGTGGTTGAACACTTTCGGCTGGAAAAGGTGTCTTGTAATTGTGTTTCAGAATGTAATGGTTTTGTCTGGTGAGTCTTGTTTAACTGGCTGAAATTTTTGAGGTTTGTCCTGCATATGCTTAGAAATCTACCTGCGTTTACAAGCACAACCTGTCTGGTAAAAGGAGCTTGCCCAGGATCCTTTACATTTGCACTAGAAGTGATTTGTCATGCCCTTTTCAAGAGAATTTACTTTTGTGGTGATGTTTAAGTTCATCCTTCATTAGTCTAAAGTAATTCAGTAGTCCTTTTTTGTATTTACCTTTAATGAAGAAAAAAATCTCATCTCCACCTGGCTATCACCAGTTGTTGATTTTAATGCTCTTAATTTCTGTACAGTGCATGCAGTAAATTTTACAAAACAAGTTGAGATGGCTTTAAGGCTTTTAACTCCTTGGGGCTTTGTGCGCCACATTCTTATCAAACAAAATCCCTTTCTGGTCATATTCAGAGATGCCAAATAAGTCAGTGCAACTGTTACTAAAGTCACTGAAGCACTGAAGTGTTAAATCTGCCTGATTGCTTCTACTATTTAATAATATTTTTTAAAAAGAGAGAGATTAGCTGACTGTAAGATGCCTGCACTGTATGTATTTTTTGGGTGGTGGGTTTATTTTCTTAGTTCTTCAAGRAATACACAGATGACCACCACTGTTCCTGTAGTGATCACGGAATGCAAACCTTTATGAAATCTTTACCAAATATAGTGAAGTTTATAGAGGTATGAAGCTACACCATCGTCTTTCTTAAAAGGAAAGTGTTYTATCATCTGCTTGCAGTGTCCTGGCTATGTTTACAGTGACTGCTGTGAATTGGAAGGAGGTGAGGAGGATGAATGATGAATTGTTTCAAAATTAATTCAGAAAAATTGGCTGACATTAGCACAGAGATACTTTCTGGCAATTCTTTCCAGCTAAGCAGCTTTATGAAAGTCTGTGTCTGCATTTTTCTTTGGTACTTCTAAACCCCTTCAAGTTTCCTGCAGAAWTTCTTAATTCAGGTATTCTGGTAGTAACAATCTGGGTCAGGTAATATCGCCTGAGATATTCTAAAAGTGGGTATAAATAAGTGAGAAAATTTATGGCAAATGGCAAATACAAACCAAGTGTATACTGAAACAGCAAAGCTCTGTGTGCATGGAAATGTAATGTAAAGTTCCCTTTATAAATCTGCAAATTGGCTTGCACTGACTGCAGTATCCTAATTTCTGCTAATCCTTTGCTTTGCTTTTTTGCTCAGAGCTCCACTGTCAATCGACCGAGCATCTGCAGCTGTACAGAATGYGCTGGCTCATTTAGTCAGTGATTTAGCTCCAGTGAGAATGAACTGCTGCATGCCCCAAAATGGTCATTGCAGCACTTAGATTGCTCCTGAGACAGAGAGCTTCATTCAGACTTTTGACAGGCCTGGGACTTTGGGCTTGCCTACACAGTAAAATGACTGCGGTGGGTAGAGGCAAACCCTGGGTTAGTTTTAATTGGCATGGTAACAACAGCAGTAAAAACACAGCAGCACAGGTTCAGCAGGTGTGAAGTGAGTGGGCAGCCTACTGTGATAACAGACATGTATTTTGATTGAAAACATACCATAAAAATTCAGGTTGGCCCATCTTTATCATTTTTATTGCTATTGTTACGATTCTGGGGAGACTTGCAGGCTGGTTTTTGTTGGCTGGCCCAAGCCATGGCTGCATCTTTCAGTCATGTCTGGGAATTCTTGTGTTTCCAGAATACCTGTGCATAAAAAAGGTTCTTAACAGAATCACAGAATGGTTTGGGTTGGAATGGATCTTAAAAAGAATCTGGTTCCAACATGCCTGCTGTGGGGCGGGACACCTTCCAGTAGACCAGGTTGGTCAGAGCCCCATGCAACCTGGCCTTCAACATTTCCAGTTATGAGGCATCCACAGCTTCTCTGGACAACCTGTTCCACTACCTCACCATCCTCAGAGAAACGAATTTYTTTCTAGTATCTAACCTAAATTTCCCTTCTTTCAGCTTGAAAATACTAAGTTCCTGTAGGTGAAGGCAGGAAAATAATCCTGCATGGCATTTCTTGGGTGTGGACTTTCTCTTTGATCCTGTTCCATGACAGCTCATGTGTAAGTGTTAACGTATGTGACAAGGTATRTATCAAGGTTTGAAATAAGACAAAGCTGGAACTAAGGTGCTGTATAGCAGTGTTTCAATTTGCAGTGCTTTTGGTGTAGATCATCTTCCTGGCTCTGGGACTTCTACAAGATACATCAGATGTATGAGACCTGGGAAAGTTGCTCTCTCTGCTGCCTCAAGGGACTTTGTGCGTGTGAATGAGACTTTTGTTCACTTTGCAATCAGCACCCACTTTTTACAATGCTGTAGTTTAAACAAGAGACAGCCAGTGTTTTCACTGCTGTGATGGGAATGTGGGAACAATGGGATACACACCCTCTCCTCATGTTCTTGCTGGTGCTCATAGCCAGAGCAGGGCAGTGCAGTCCTTCACATGACCACAAATGTGGGGAAGATGAGAAGACTCCGGAATCTTGATGATGCTTCACCACTGATGGCAAGGATGAGGGTGAAATATGTGCTTTTGTTTCAGGTGTGGGGGCTTTTCCTTCCATTACCTTGTGGCCCCAAAGGACCCAGTTCCTGCCTTTTGTGTCCCCAGAATTCCCCCAATTCAGCTGTGAATCCATTTTCTTCCTGCAGGGATGGACTCCCAATTTTTGTAGTCTAAGCAGTTGTTATTTTGGAAAAGTGATGACAACTGTTCCTTTACATACCTTGGGAAAAAATAGAGGGGGTGGGGGCAATCTACTCTAGAGAGCAGGAAAAGCAGTTTTCAAGGTCYTTCCAAGTTTCTGAAAGGGAAAATATTCCAGTTTTCACAGGCAKTAATTTCAAGACTTGTCCTGGAAGAACATTATTGCTTCTAAAGTCGCATTTTGTTTCCAGTTTTGCTATTCTTCCTTTGAGTGTAAAGGAAGGAAAACTTGCCCAGCTAAAGAGGGTAAGTCAAGTGTGATGCATTTGGACAGAGAGCTCTTCTGTGCCTGTGACTGAGCTGTTGTAGCTTCTACCTGTATGGAATTAACCCCCTGTTTACCTGGGTGAGGAAAAAGTGTTCAGAGCTGTTCAGCTACTTTGATTTCTGTTTTTTAAACCAAATCTAATTGATRCTTAATAAACTGGCATGGGAAGAACAGAAAGATCCCAGGAAATAAATGGTTGCAAACTATGTGTCATGGCTACAAATGGTTTCTGTTTGGGGTGGGAAATGGTTTTTAATTATCTTCTATAGAGACCGTAGAGAGATGGATGGAATGATTGTTCAAATGAAGTTATTTCCATGAGCTCACAGGCAATGAGCCTTGCTTGTCCAACCACCTAAAACAAAGAAAACTCAGGCAATTAATTTAACGAGAGTACTTGGGACATGATATCATTCTGAATGGAYGAGCCTGAGAAAACAACTATTTTGAATCACAGCAGGATAGGCATACAAAACAGTATCCCTGTGCAACAAAATCGCTCCTAGCTGAGTGCCAAAAACTGGTCTGTCTGAGCCATGGGGTGCTTGCCCAAACCTCGACTTTTGGGATAAGCAAATTTCCTTTTTAAAGGAATAAAACAGTCGTGGCAAGTAAAGCTTATGTGTGACTTGAATTACTGGGGCTTGTAAGAAAGAAGGTGCCATTTCATACCTTGGGACAAGGGACAAGTCCTTGGGACAAGTCCTTACTAGATGTAGATCCGCTAGCTTGGCTACCCTGAGATATATCTTCTCTTTCTGGCACAGAAAGAGAAAATAAAACACTCTTTTTTTTTCCAGTAAGCCTTTTTGTATAATCATGGACGGTAACAGCTGGTGAAACAGCTTTTCTGCAATTAGTAGCGGGCTCTTACAGTTGGCAAGAAGAAAGATCACTATCATAGATTGCTATGAGTAGCAATACCTAGTTTTTGTTGTTAGGTTTTTGCTTTTTGGTGTTTGTTTGTTTTTTTTGTTTTTTTTTTTTTTTTTAAGGAATGCTGTTCAGGTTCTGCTTGCAGTAAGGGCAGTCTCTGATTCAGCTTTCCTCTCAAGCTTCTGAATTTTTCAAAGCCCTCCTTTATCTTTTTCTCCTGTTTCTTGCACTTTCCAGTGTTTTCAGTTTTGTAGCTCACTTCTTTAATAGCTTTAAATTAAAAATAACAATTGGGTGATTGTGGTTTGTGGGTTTTATTTAGTGAAAGACCAAACCAGTGAACCAACTATGCAGAGCAATTCTGCAATGCAACAGCTCCCCTGTCACACAAAGTKTATAGAAATATTGAAAACATCATTMTTCCTCCCATAGCTTCTGGTTTAACTACAGCCAGAGTTTGTGCTGCTGTAGGCTGGTCCGAGTTTTGCTGCTTTTGTCACGAAGGGGAGCAGGGACAGCAGCAGGGCAGCCCGGGGTGTCTCTGTGGCCCAGCAGCTGGCAGAGAGGAGCAGGGGCACCCCAAGGCTGCCGTGTGTCGGGGTGGCCGGGCACCTGTGTGGGCAGGCGCAGGTGACACCGCGGTGTCGGTCACAGCAGGGAGCACTCAGCTGCTGCTGTCCCATCCCCGGGTCGCTGGGGAGCTCAGCCGGCCTCCATCGCTGTGCGGAAAGCGAGGCAGAGAGCAGACATACACGGAGCACCCGAGCAGGTCCAGCGGAGAGTCACCGAGCTAACCAAGCGTCTGGACAATCTCTCTTCGGAGGAATGKCTGAGGGAGCTGGGCCTGTGGAGCTTCGACAAGGGGTGACTGAGAGGGGACCTCACTTCATCAATGTGATTGCGAACCTAAAGAACGGGTGTCAAGAAGATGGACCAGCCTCTTTTCGGTGGTGCAGAGCAATAGGACAAGAGGCAATGGGCAGAAACTGATGTACAGGAAGTTCCACCTGAATATGAAGGAGAACTTCTTTACTGTGGAGGTGACAGAGCACTGAAACAGCTCGCCCGGAGCGGTTGTGCAGGCTCCCTCACTCGAGAGGGGGCAGGGAGGCTGGGCCAGATGACCGCCTGCGATCCCTCCCAACCCGACCCGTCCCGTCCCGCCGTTCCGCTGCCCCCGGCCGAGGCGAGGCGGCCCCGCCGCGCTGCGTGAGGCGGTGCCCGCGGGCCCGGCGCGGGGGCGGGGTGGCCGCGGGGGCCGGCGGCGGGGCGGCTCCTTCTTTGGCCATGAGCGAGGTGCCGGCATTCGGCCGCCGCCGCCGCCTGCGGGACGCGGGGAGGGAGCGGCCGCAGCGAGGTTCCGCCGGCGGCAGCGGCGGGTGGGATGGCCCAGGCCCGGATCAGCGCCAAGGCCAGCGAGGGGGCGCAGCAGCCGCAGCAGCCGCCGCAGCAGCAGCAGCAGTCGGGCGGGCAGCTCCGGGGCCGCTTCTACCGCTCCACCTCCATGGCCGACCGCTCCAGCCGCCTGCTCGAGAACCTGGACCAGCTGGAGCTCAGGTGGGGCCCGGGGCCGGGAGCCGTGTGCCCCGAGCCGGTGGCTCCRCACCGCGGGGCGGCGGCGGGCACGGAGCCCTCCCCTGGCTGGGGCGGGAGATGGGGGGCCGGTGAGACTTCCTGAGGGGACCGAGGGAAAAAGGGCTCTCCTTCATGGGGGCAAAGTTTAAAAATGGGAGCAGTTGCTCTAAGGTGAGGTAGCTTGGTCTGGAAATATACGAAGATAGGGATATATATATGAATGTATGAAAATAGACGTTTTTCAGAAAAAGCGCGAAGGTCTGCTTGGGATTTGTTTCCCTTCAGAGTGTGGGGAGCCTTTAGCAGGGAGGGGATGTGCTCTGCGAGCTGGGACACGGTGGGTACGAGCCCGCCGTGCATCGTGTCTGTCGTCCCACCGTGTCACCCCCCATCCCGCATCTGCGGGCAGGTGTTTTATAAGATGCGGGAAATCCGAGGATAAAACGTGGTGTCATTCGGGCTGTCGGAGACTCTGGCAAGCCKTTAAGCTGCAGTGCTGAATGCTGGCGTGTGAGGCTTCTTGTCTTTCCAACCTCCCTTTGCTCTTACTGGTTCARCTATGGAAGTTCTTGTTACTTGTGTTCGTGTCCACCTCCTCTCTGAGGTGTATTAAATCGTGTCACTATAATGGGAACAGCATTCTGCAGCTGAGGTGTGTTTTTCCTAAGTTACTGTAAATGTTGTGTGAATTTCATCGTTCACGCCAAGACTTGTCCTGACTTTTTCTGCTATTTGACGTTCCCTAAATAATACCATTTGACTTTTTTCCCAGTTTGGCCTCATGAGAGATGATACCTTGTCTTTAATCATCTTCCCTGTCTTCTCAGCTCTGCTAAATTACACAGTGTCCTTTCTGAGGTGGATGGATGTGCAGGATGCCACTGATTCACCTCCTCTGGTACTGTTTCAACACACCCTTTTCTTCATTACAGCTGCATATTGATCAGCAGCTTTCACAGAACCACCCAGCATGTTTCTAGGACTTTCCTGTAATTAAAAGAGTTCTGTGGGGTGCAGGAGTTTATATTACCCCTTTCTGCCTGCATTASTTTGCATTATTCAGGAGTGGACTCAATGTGCTGTTGTATTAGCCTTTCACTTAGCTTGATTAGATCTCCTTGAAGTCCTTTGCAGACTTTTCTGAATTTGACTAAACAAAATCACTGTCTGCAAACAAGTCTTACTGCTTACATCCAGAAGGTCTAGGCGCATGATGAATATATAATCAAAAAATGAGCATCAGAATATGCAAAAACGTATTTTAAATTTGCTAAGTGACTCTGAGACGAAGCAGACAGTTTGGTTAGCCAGCAATTAAACCCGCAGTTAAATTCTCAGTTTGCTSTGGGTTTTTCAGACAGGCATAGTTCTAAATGTGAAATAGTCATGGAAAAAAAAAGTCAGACTAATTTGATAAAAGTCACTCCAGTCTAACAGTTTTTTTTCATTCACAACTAATCAACATGCTTCATTTCATATTTATGTGAATGACAGGAGGAAAAGCTTCCAAACTTTTTCCTTCTCCCRCTGGTTTGGTTTTGCTATAGACCCTCAAGATGTTGTTTGTAAATATAATAAGTGGAAATTTGTCAAACTGAACTATACTTTTTAATTATAACCGTCAACAATCCTCAGTTCTCAAGTTGCTTAAGATCAACTGAGCTCTGAACCAACCCTCATTCCTCTAGAAATCACAGAATCATAGAATGGGTTTGGGTTAGGAGGGACCTTAAGATCATCTAGTTCCAACCCCCTGACACGGGCAGGGGCACCTTTCAGGGCACCAGGTGGCTCAGAGCCCCATCCACCCTGGCCTTTAACACYTTCAAGGATAGAGCATSCACAGCCTCTTTGGGCAACCTGTTCCAGTGCCTCACCATCTCCATTGTGAAGAATCTCTTCCTAATAGCTAATCTAAGTATACTTTCTTTCAGTTGTAAAATCCTCCAGTTTGAGCAGCCTTCTTTTTTCTCCGTTTCTTTGTGAGAGCTTATTTTCCAACAGTTACGGGTATTTTTGTATCTCCCTGATAGGTGTTTGCAGAGGGGCTCTCTTCACATGGAAAGTGAGCAGGGAAGGGGAATTAATTTGGCTGCCAGGGAGCGAGTGCTCGAGGCTGAGGTGGCAAGGGGGTCAGGTGGCACGTTTGCCCCTTGTAAGGGCTTGGACCTTCATGTTGCCGTGACTGCCAAGATATCTTGGGAGCAGCTGGAAGTGAGAGCAGAGGCTCTGTTTATGAGTCACTGTGTTGGTTGTGTTAAGTGAAAACAGTTTTATGTGTGATGATACATGAGATAAGTCAGATTCTTGCTGGATATTTTTTATCTTCATTTTTTGTACTTTTAATCTTGTTCTTTGGATCAACCACATTCCCCCCCACCAGTCATTTTAGTATTCATAGGACTGCTCACCTGGGAATGGACATTTAGCTGAAGCAGCTGAGGATGCCAGGGTGAAACACCCCATTTTTTCTCCCTCCAGTGTGTTCATCTCCATTTCAGGATGAAAGCTGCTCCATTCTCAGATATTTATTTCCTTTGAAAACTTATCTGAACCTCCAGCACGTGGGCTCTAACAGTGAGCTGTGTAAGTCAAGTCAGTGGTTTAAAGGACAGCGTTATTGCAGCTGTCCTAAGAAAGAAGGTGTCAAGTTTCTCATCTGGAAACAAAAGCACAGGCTAGTCCACCTGTTCCTCAGGGGAATGCTTGCTCATGTAAGTGGTATGTAGCAAAGAAAGGCATTGCACAGCTAATCGCTTACGAACAGGGAGGAGGAGGATCAGAAGTAAGGAATGTCTTTTTCAGTGTTAGGAAATGGATGGAATATTTAGTTGATGTTCGAAGCAACAATTACACTCCAAGTAAAAATATGATTGGATGTTTTCATCTGTTAGAAAAAGGACCATACTGCTGCATCAAAATAATTGACAACTGGATATAAATAGTATTTTGTGTTTTTTCTTTGCCTTTTATTGTTCAGTTGATTGGTTTTTTGAGACTCAGATTGTGTTTCCACCCTTTCCCACACCAGTCACCTCTGTCAGAGGTTTAAATCTTACAACTTTTTTTTGGGCCCCCYCACAGAAGAAGAGGAAAGATTTACAGAAAAAAACTGTGAAGTTAAGGATCATTTTAGGAAAGAAGTTGTGAGAACTGACTGCAAGGTGTAATCCTGACACATTATTTTATTGAGGTTGATGTGACTGTTTCCTGGGTTTTTTGTTGTTTTGATTTTTTTTCCTCCCATTAGAGTGCTGTTCTGAAATGAACCTGTCCCACTACTGTGTGACATTCTACATTGCAGTTGAAAAAATCATAAAAATTATTCTGAAGAAGCAATCAATACAAATAAAATAGTTCTTCAGATTTGGTTATGTTACTTTTTAAAATTAATGTCAATCAAAGCTCTAGTTGGTAAACTGTTTCTTTTTTTTTTGCAGTATGCARCATTAGTTCTGACAATTTGGCTTTTAGGTCCTACCTCACATACCAGGCTGGCCTTTGGAAACAGTGATATTTTAGGCACTTKCTTTAGAACTGTACCAATTCAGGACACAGCTCTGCAATGCAGCTTTTCCACATTCTTCTTAGGACCCAGCAAAGCCTGTGGAAATCATATRCTGATCTTTCTACTGAAAGCAGAACTTTAGTTTTTATGTCAGTACAATGATATACAGAATCTGATTTAAAAACACTATCAGACTTGAAATTCTGCACATCAGAATTTTAATTTACAGCTTTCCAGCAATCACAATACATTTATTAAATTGTGAAAATACTAGCTTTTTTTTTAAAAGGCATGGCAWGGCATTATGAAAATATTGCTAGACTTCCTAAATTATAAAGTGCAGACATCTGAAGTATGAAATTACTCTACCTGCCTCATTGCTCTTACTAACCAGTCCAAAATAATAATTAAAAGTATTTGCTCTTGGCATGAATTTGCATTGCATTAATTTGCATTTTCCACTCCTCCTCAGAATGAACATTAAAGGCAAGGCCTGAAGCCTGTGCTTTCACTGACTAAATTAGGCTAAATATTTTTTAAAACAACCATTTCATGAGCAGGCTGCATGTGAAGAGTGACTRTATCCTGAAATACTCCTGTTCTTCTGCTTTCTTCCACCCTCTTTTCTTTTACTGCTGTTTTTCTGAAGTTACCTGCTTTCAGCCAGCCTGTGAGGAAKGAGCAGCTGCTCCGTTCTGTCTCAGGCAATGTGCTCTCATCTGCAGACAGCAATGAGCCACTGCTGTCTCAGGGCAGCACCCAGTAATGTCAGAGTGCAGAGCACCTAAGAGACTTAACAGTGTTTTGGTTTGTTTCCCCTTTTCTGGCCAGGTTTCCTAAACATTTCAGGATAGATGGATTCTCGTGATTCAGCTAGACCTCCCAAGCAGTGCACTGCAACGCAAGTCAGGTTCACATGATACTCTTGCTTTTTTGTGGGGCYTGTGAATGCAGAGTTGATGGTTTTGGTGCAGCCAGTTCCAGCTTGGAAAGTCCTATGCAAGCCCCTACCCTCAAGTCTCAGAGAAAAACCAAGGGAGTAGGATATTTCCCTCTTTTGTACCAGGTCTTCATAGTGTTGCATTACAGTTCCCCAGTGTTCTTTTCCATATTATTCAGCTGAATGCAAAAGCCCCCTCTTTAAAACTGTGGTGGGGAATAAGACATAAATGTAGAAACCGGACTTGTATTTCTCATGCAGCATTTTCACATTGCCCATGGCAAGCTGGGTCTGTACCTTATGCCACAAGGAGGGCRGGCTGTGGGCACAGAATTACACCTTACCAAGACCAAGTCAGTGACAGGGACAGCAGTTTTGAYGAACTTTCCCTTTGTCCTCACTGCATTACATGTGTGTTTCAGCACAGTAAACAAGACTGGAGTAGGGGGTCTGGTTTCAGGAGGGACCAAGTTTCATGCTTCCCTGCAAGCTCAGAAATAGGAGCTTCTCCCACAGARGGTTCCTCCTTGTGTGAATCACAGCGAGCATCATTCTGTGGAAGGCACCAGTGACAGTGGGGGCAGGCAGTCCAGCATCTTCTCCAAGTGATCAGGCACACCACTTTGTGTCAGAGAAACCCTTGTCACATCAATAAAAGTGTGTGAGCTTTGTCCCACTCGCAGGGTTTTCTCCTTTGTGAAAGGGGTTTCAGTTTTCTGGAGTGTTTGTTGCTTTGCAGGTGGATTATATGGGTTCTACTGGTCTGTGGGTGGCACAGCAAGCCAGTGCCCCTTGCTGCCTCCATCTCTGCAGCAGCCASCTTCACTGCCAAGTTCCCTGATGGGGACTTGGTCCCTTTCTCTCTTAGTTAAGCAGCTGATAATTGCCAGTTGGCTACAGGACTTCTGTAGGGCTGTAGTACATCAGGCTTTCATATCCTGATTAACCACAAAGTGTGATAGAACAGCACTGTCAGTAAAAGATTTAAGTYTAATTGAATTACTGTTGTTTTGGTTTTCCCCTCCATTTGTTTGTTTTTCAAAAATATTGAGTCTTGAAAAATGAAGTTGCGATAGAGGAGAAGGTCATGAAATCAGAGAGTCTGTCTCATGGCTAACTAAGAACTGACTACCTACTTCAAGCCAAAGTTTAAAAAARCAGTTCTTGGCAGCTATATAGGTGAACAGCTATTTTATTATTTAAATATTTTGTTTGGTTTGACCATGTACAGGGTAGAGGCTTTCCGTGATGCRGCATCTGCTATGGAACAAGAGAAAGAAATTCTGCTCGAAATGATCCACAATATACAGAACAGTCAGGATATGAGGCACATCAGCGAAGGTGAGAAGCTGCTTCACCATACCCTTCAACTGACCCAAAGTCAAATCAGCCCATCTCTTAGGGAGCACCTCATGTGATTCTTTGCTGCTGGTAAAGGTGCACCATTGGAGCCAGCTGAGGTTGTTGAAGTGCCACCCATTATCCTGAGATCTCCTCTTCTTGACTGTAAATTCACCCTGTTCAGGTGGATGGACTACCATGAATGTTACTAATGTGTATATGAAAGCCCATACTCAGTTGACTGATGCATTTTCACAGTCGAGGTTAATATAGCTCTGCTGAGGGAGTCACATCGATGATGATAATATAGTTGAAAACACAGCATTTTAATGATTTTGACTATTGGGCAGGCATGAATGTTATAGTGTACAGCCTACAAGAACCTGCTGATTAAGATCATTGTYGTAGTTGTGTGATTCACGGCTTTAAATATATTCCCTAAACCTGATTATTAGATGCCTTAAAGTGCTGGTTTACTGGCTCTTCAAGAGCCTACATATCAAGTATGTTGCGTCCATATTTTTGAAAAGCAGCTGTGCTTTCAGAAAATAGAAAACCAGTTTTTTTCATGGCCTCTTATTATATCTARTTTTCTTTTTATGGTCTTCTGGAGTACTGTCTAAATCTCTCCTTCAGAACAGCACAGAAGTCCTTATTAAGCCAGTTCTGTTACTAAATGTTTCCTGATAATACTGTATGTTTTGCTTTAAAGTGACACAGCAAGCATTGTGTCAGTAGCAAAAAAACATTGCTTACATTTATAATAGAGTTTAATGCCTCATATCAAATGGCATCTATGAAATGAGTAGGACTTRAGCAAATGCAAAAAGCTCATTTCTGGCTTCTGGAAATGTTGTTGATTGTCACTTACTTAAAAAAAGTTGTTTATTGCTAAGTTATAGCAGTTTAAGTGTCTTGATGATGCAATTTGCACAGGAAAGTATTTGCCTGTAACCAAAGGTATTTTCTTGTTTTCCATTGAGGTGAGAGAGAAGAACTTAATTTGACTGCTAATCGCCTGATGGGCCGAACCCTCACTGTGGAGGTTTCCGTAGAAACCATCCGCAAYGCCCAGCAGCAGGAATCCCTCCTGCACGCCACCAAGATGATTGATGAGATCGTCAATAAACTCCTCGATGATTTGGAAGATGCCAAAATGCGCTTAATGTCACTTTACGGTGCGTGCACRTCTGATGTGCCAGCAGGACCCATTGATCAGAAATTTCAGTCTGTGGTCATTGGCTGTGCCATTGAGGATCAGAAGAAAATCAAAAGGCGCCTAGAGACTCTGCTTAGAAACTTGGAAAATTCTGAAAAGTCCATCACATTGTTGGAGCATCAGAAATCATCCGTTCGGCAGTCTTGCAACAGCAAACAGGATTAACGTTTCCTCCTGGCTACTTTTGGCAAACCGCAGGATGATCAAGTGCCCATAAAAACCACACAGAAGCCAAGAAAAAAATTCTCTGTATGAGCACACACATAAATACACATCCACACGCACCAAAGTATCTTTGATTGCGAGGTGCAAGCATTTAATGGGTTTTGGTGGCATCGGCATTTTCTTTCRGCAATAAGGAATGCTATCAGTTCTTTTGTAGAGTCAATACTGCTCTATTGCAAATTGTAATTGTGCTTCTGCTGAACAGACAGAAACTGAAAATCTAGCCTTTCCTACATTCTCCTGGGTTTTTTTTAAACTAAAGTTGTTTTGTCCTRTCATGAGATTTCAGCTTTTCTCTGCTGTATGCATAGTATGTGAACCAGACTTCTGGGGACAAAAGACAAATCATGGCAATAAACCAAAACCATTAATAAACTGTTTATGGTATTTTCATAAATAACACAACAGCGTTTTACTCATTACCAATTATAATTTTGCATTTTTTGAGTATTTTGAATAAACTGATCACAACACTTTTCTAGGGACAGCTACCTSCCGTTTGTAACTGAGGAAGTGAAAAGCAACACATACGTAACCAGAGATCGCAACCCATGATAGAAATGAGCCAACTCTTGCAATGCCCCTTCTGTGCCTGGTGAACCATGCTGTTCCCACCAGGTCATTATAGCTTTGAGGTTGCTGTGTGTTTCTTTTAAAAGAYAGTAGAAAGGGGACTTGTATCTTATCAGCTACTAGTCCACTTTTGCACCTTTTATGAAGCCACAGAGCAAAACTTTGACTTCTTTGACCTGACACTGTTTTGATGTCTTGTGTAGGATGGCATGGTACATCCAGCATTTCTCACCTCCTTGTGTGAATGGCTTTTGGTTTATCTTCTATCCTCTCACTCAGAGCAACTGCTGCGTATCATCACCAACCTCTGTTGCTGTGGCTCAAAAGTTGCAGATTCTAGGGTGTACCTGGAATTTTGCAACCCCCTGTAGCCTGGCCAGAGTTAAYAGTATTTCAGCCAAGCTCTGAGGATAGCAGGGGGCTCCGTGGCTCAGCCATCAGCCTTCTGAACTTGGCTCAGGTTAAAGCTAAGCTGAAGGGAGTGGGAAGGGTCTGAGTGATGCCTTGGTGGCAATGCCCAGGGTATTACAGCTGCAGCATCACACCTGGATGATCAGAGGGCACCAGCCCATGGTGAGAACGCTGCACCAGGCTCCTGCACAACCAACACTCGGAGCCCCATCGTTTTAAATGCCTTGGATGAGCTCAGGTGCTCCACAGGGAAACTCAGAGTGGYGCTTCTCGGAAACCTCAGCTGCGATGTCACTGGAACTGCATTTTATTTGAAGAAATGGCACTTCAGGTGGGTGCTTCAAAAGCAGTCAAAGTTTGTAAGAGTTGGTGACATTAATTCTATTATTCTGTTTTAAAAGATCTTCCAGCTATTCAGTAGTATTAAAACCCTTTACAGTAATACCTGGCTTGGGTTGTTTTTAAAAATCATGCTGGGCAACAGCTTAAGTTAAACACAGCTTCTTGTTCCTTAGAATACTCCTTCAGTATTCGGGGTTTTAAGGCCATTATAAGCTTATTCAGGCAAAAAGTTTAAGGTTTTTTGTTTTCTTTCTTAGATTCTCTTAATTTCTGATACCTAAAGGGGATTTTATTTTTATAGCACTTGTGCTATCACAGAATCACTGGTTTAGAAGGGACCTATAAACGTCATCTAGTCCAACACCTGTAATGAGCCTAAAATATTGCTAATTAATCCTTACTGGCATGTTAAGCAAGCAAATGTTTTTTCTGTGTCCAAAACGACATGCAAGAGGAAGCRGGAATATGTTACTTCTGATATTCTTCAGACACTTGGGTAAAGAGGCAGACACAGATGCCAACCTGTTTTTACTAAAACAAAAATACCAAAACAATGCAAAACCCTCAACCAACAGTCACCAGTGACTATTTACTTGGGGTTTTTTTTTCAGAAAATGCAACAGGCATCTTAGATATATTAATAATACTTTAATGCCACTTCCAATGTCTATAAGCATTGACTTAAACTTTGTCACTGTATTGGCCAGACCAATCATAAAAAGCAAAATTACCAGAAAGAGCACAAAAGAATCCCTACTTTGTATTTCAACCACATGGTGAAGAAATGAGAGGCAAGAGCTCAGAAACACCATTTCTATTAGACTGGGGTGCTCCCAGCTTGTTCCTTTGACGATCTCACATGTGCTGCCTTGGATCCCAGCTCTTGGCAACATATACACAAGAACCAAGCACATGTTTCTCAGATTGASGTTGCACAGCTTGTAGTTATAGCAATTTTTGAAATTTAATATACTGACAATTTAATATAACCACAAAAGACCCAATAGTAAGCAAACAATCATGTTTTAAGTTGCATGATGCAACTAGTGTCACAAGAAAACAGCAGAATTAACTTGTAGGGATTTTACAGAACAGMATAGCACAAGATGCTCAGTTTTAAACAATTATTTTTCTGCTAGAGGATTTATGGTAAGTTGACTCTTTTTTCTAAAAATCTGTTACATTTACTTGAGGTCATGGTGGTGATAAACCCAGTTATGTACATCTCTTTTAGCCACTTACATTTAAGCCATTAGTAACAATACATCTTAATCCTTGCAATGAGAAGTGTTTCTCCTGGAACAGAGTAATATTAAACTTTTTTTTAAATCAACTTTAATGAGTTCAGCAGAACTACAAATKATTTATCAGTAYTACCCTACTACTAGAAACCTGAGAATGAGTCTAGTTCAGTCCTAGGACTCACCTGGCTTTGAGATGACTCATWTAGAACATTTCAATGGGAACATTASCAAGTTTCTCATATTCCATTAYAGCACCTTTCATCTTAAATCTCAGSATTGCTGCTGCTATAGAATTTTTTCATCCTATAATTTTGATTACCTGTCTGGATGCCATTTTTAACACAATTATTCTCTCAATACTAGTTGTGCATTATAAAGAATATCTGCACAACTTTTGCTTCCTACAAAAAGATGCAAGGTCATTTTGATGAATTCAAGCTTACTGGACCATCCTTGCTCTCCARTTGTGTGTACAATTAGTGTTCAGGTACTGCAACTTCAACCAAAGGTGTATGACTACACTTAGAAAAGCAGAAGGGGCTCAGGTACCATCACTGGAATCAGAGCAGCATGTGTGTTGGCTTTGGCTTGCTATGTGATGGAACTGCAGAGAAGGGCAGATCATTAATCCTGTTAACACCTGGCAGCTCTCAGCCTAGGGGGGAGCGTGAACAGACTCCAGTGCAGGTTTGCTGAGTCTTGTGCATGTTCCCTGCRCAACCCCCCCACAGTGCTGCGTGTTCAGCTGCTGAATGCTCTTTAGATTAACCCAYCCCTACTCAAGTAATGTGAAGGAAAACTTCAAGTCAGGTGTGCTGCAGCCCAATAATGAAGAAAAAAAAATTACTGAAGCATAAAAAAATTGAACAGGAAATCAGACTGACAGTGTGGTCATTTKGACTACAAAAGTGTTGCCTTAAGACACACTGAAAATAAGAAAGCTTCAAAATTGTCTTGAGTATTTAATTTTTTTTTTAAATTAAACACACACACACACAAGCACAAAAATTAGTGTGATCAGTCGTACAACTTTGAGATTTTCTATTTCCAGTTGGAAATACATCCCTAGCATTACTGCTTTGCATCTAACGATGCCCKGCGTACTGGGAGAACACCCATTCACTGAATGGATACAACACAGAAGTGACAAAGCTGTAGTGTCATACTCTTTAGTGAATCCTTATTTCACTWAGGCAATTACTGACATTTCCTGCTAGTGGTAGCTTTATCAGCCAAAGRCAAAGAATATTGGCAAGATTCAGATAATGCAGCCAATGAGCTTTTCAGGAGATACAAAGAGAATATACAGGAGTGCAATGAAGTTTGTGTCTTCTGGCATGGGCATCTCTTGCTCCTAATCCAGGGTACCACAGGCATAACRGAGCTATATTGTCACCCACCATGCAGTCACAGGGATGCACAAAGAAGGGCATTTTTATTACTTGTAGGTTTTGCTAACTAAAACATATTCTAATGAGAACATTTTGAGTGGAGAATGAAGTAATGTTTGCAATAAAAATTATTCATGAAGGACAACACAAATGCTAAAACATTTAGGCATGTCTCTTCTTCCAAAGTTAGTGCCACTGAAGAGTGATGTGAATATCTAAGGGTTCCTGCAATATGCAAGTCATCTGGTTTACATCTACACACTAACCCCAGTAAGATAAAGAGCTAAAATTTTCAAGCAGCATATGTGCAGGGCACTTCGCAGAAAAAGCTAATTTGGGCAGTTTCAATTCAGTCATATTGGAGAACAAGCACTGCAAGGTCACAACAAAAAAAGATCCACTTTAGATTTAGGATGGGAGTAAAATGAAAACTCACTGTTACCCAATGCTGAAAATAACTATTCCTACATTAAAGTATATGCACTACATTTCAACATATTTTAAATTTATCAAGTCTCCACCTATGAAAATTTCTGCCGAGTCCTTAAAAACACTGGTCTATAGTGACAAACCTTAAGTAYAAATGGTCTATGTTAATAAATAGTGCAGTGTTACAGTATAACATGTAAGTACAAACTGCCATTATACATAATAAAGACTTTTCAGTATGCTGTACAAAGTCAAGGCAAAAAAAAGATGTTTCAGACACTTTGTGGTTTTGTTTCTTTTTCAAGAAAAATGAATAAAAACCCGTGAAACTTTCAGACAGACAATGAAATGTAAAAGTTTCCATAATAAAACCAGTTTTCAAAATTATTTATGCATACAYTCTTAAGTTGTGAGGTGACACCATAATGTTCATCTTATCCCAAGTACCTTACTTCTTAAACTGCTAAGACAGATAGGACTTTACTCCATTTATACATACAGTGATTAAATGCACTTGTTAAAAAATAGGGGCCTTTATCCAAGAGAAAATACATGAAACATCATGGTGAAGAACTACGGTTTTGCTGTAACAGCAAAAGGGATKGAGTGCCCTGAAGGCCAACTTCTTGCTAGCAACAGGAGATCTAACAGCTTGTCAAAGAAACAATGGTACTTGGTAAAAAGTCTAATACAGTAAACATAAAATACAGAGTTCAGAGATCTTTAGTGTTGTGCATAACTTGCCACCCACTTCTCTCCCTGCAGACAGTGGGAATAAAGAATACATGTCAGTTTTCATATTCATTGACTTAGAAACAAAGTCAGTCAAGCTTCCTACACGAATTCACATAGTGAAAAGTTCTTTCTTCAAAAACACACAAGATCACTCATTTTCATTCTAATACGCCATTTAAAAAACTATTAAAACTCTGATTTTTTTTAATGCAGCATATTTTGCATTTGTCACTGGCAGACTTGTAGAAATCTTCGAAAGTTAAAATTATACCATACAAAAACATGTAAACAAAATGGGTAGTTTTTAAAAGGCATGCATGTTCTTGAAGAGGATTAGAAAGTGTTTATTTATGCTAAATAAAAGGTATCTTGCTTAGCATTTTTTAAAGCACCTTAGTGATTTAGGAGCCTTAGCCCGAAAAACTTTGAAGTTAGATTTGGGCTCCTAAACATCTATATCAATTCTGTAAAATTACTGAAGCACTTCTTTGAAAATTTTTTGCCCCATGTCTCTGATCTTGCGGAATTAAGATTTCCTTAACCAGCAGCTAACTTTGAATCTGAGACAACATTCAAGAACGTCTCACTCATGTAATCAGCTGCAATTTTTTGGATCCCGTAACTTAGTTTATGKTATTTATAAAAAAATTTCAATAAGATAAATACTTTGTAACAACACTTTGCAAGTTCCTTTTTCATAGACAACACAGGATACAACAATCAAATTTGAACAGGAATATGATAATATGTTCCTTCTGAATAGCTATTAGTTTTACTGTTCAACCTGTTAAAACTGAGAAAAACAAGCTTACAAAACATCTGTAGCATAGCATTAGGTAAAAACGAGCATTTTTGGCACCATACATTTTTAAATCTAAGCTTTTAGGCCMGAAGTATAGCAAGTTAAATATACACAGTGGCAGCTTGGAAAGCCTCAATGTAACGTTTTTAAAGGACAGTTGGAAGATGCTATTTGATGATCATTAGCTGATCTCCAAGTAACATATACACTGGAACCCAGACTAAATATTCATCCCAAATGTTCACATATATACCTTAGCACACATATACATAATGCAAAGATCTTGCACCCACAGGACTGCCAGAATCCATATTAATATGGTCAGGCATWAAATGAAGTAGTGTCTTTTTGCTCTTCATTTGTGTGTCAGGTAGTGTCCTGACTAACCAATTCTAGTATTTCCTTTGAAATTTATTTGCAAGGTTGCTACATTACCTTGGGCCATAGAGTTACAGTCCGTACCTATAYGTGTAAGTATTATCCTTACATTAAATGTGCTTTGCAATTCAGCAATACCTAGTTCATAGCTCTGTAAGTAATTCCTTGAGAAAGRAAAAGCTCGCCTAATTTGTACAAAGTGCACGCGGCAGCCACGGTTCTGTGTGTCGCCACCAGGTGTCTCACGCCACACAACAAACCCACGGCATCAGCAAGTTCATCTAGATCCACCCTCTGTCAAAGAGGCACAAGATTTGCTTAAGCACCGGTAAAAATACCTCTACAGCTGGCTTTATTCTGTATTCAATTGCACAACTTCATCCAAATCTCTGAGTTGCTTTATTTCCTCCAAAAGTGGTCTAAGGTATACTGCAGTTGCTAAAAGGACTTCTGTTTTTCTTGGTCCTCTGTTTGTTGGGTTTAAGGTTGATGACATCTCCACCATTAAGAGTGCTAGAATTTTGGCTGGAGTGACTTCCACCAGCTGTATTAAAAACACCTACAGAATTTAGACAAGAAAAGCATTTGTATTTGTTTACTGCTTGCAGCAAAATACATTAACACTTTAGATGCAATGTTTGCTAAAGCATAGCAGAGCATCTCAAATGCATATACTACCTTTTATCTATTTTTGGGTCAATTTTGCTGGTAAATTGGAAGTAGAGGCAGTTGCAATTACTAGCCAGGCAGTATTTAAAGCTGGTATGCATCTGTGTAATTGAGGCAGCATATGCACTCATCTGTGTATGTTACTAACTGCACAAAGTTTCGGTTAGTTGAGTAATGTAAAAGAAGAAAAACATGATGGTTTTAATTTCAGAAACTTTGCTGATATAAAGGTAAGTAAAAGGCCTAAATAAATAAATTAACTGACTCAGAAATGCTTTAAAGAATGACTACAGAAGTTCAGAGTTTCCTTACAGAAGGCAACTTACAAACACCTTCTGACTACACACCAGATTCTTTCACTGTGAGTCTTTTAAGTCCACAGAGATGAGCAATGCTAATGCTAATTACATTAAAAAACCCAATAAGCATCCTTTCTCAAGTCCTTGCACAATGTTGTTTAAATGGATTTATTAAAAGGCCACTTGCCAAACATTAGCTAGAAACTTTTGCACATCAGTTTTACCATCTTGCAATTTTAAAGAGTCACAAAGTCATTTTACAGAAGATGATATACTAAGATACAAAGGCAATAGTTAGACACTGATTCACCTTATATTTATTCCATAAGGAATCAAAATGAGAATATAAGCTTTGATGCCACAAAATACCGTTTCGGTTTTTTTTTTGTTATAGCATACATACCAATCTTGTTACTGCTTGTATGTAGTAGTTCTGATTCTTCAGMTGTTTGTTGCTTGAGCTTCTGAAGATATTTATCAGCCAAATACTTAAAAACTGGAATGTTAAAAAGAAAAAAGGTGTATCACAGAATACTTAAAAATCATCATCATTATCATCATCATCATGCCATTGTATCAGAATTCAGCATGGTGGCAAAAGTGCATTTCACACCCCAGGTTAAGCATGATCTGGTGAGTGATTCTGGGCAGGCCTGTGTGCCTGGGCACAATCCAAGTCACTCCAGTGTCTGCCCAGCTCTTACAGTTTGCAGTACTGAAGTCTTGCACAAAAACATCTCAATACTCCTATTAAAAAACTGGCACACACATATTGCAAAATGCTTCAATTAATGCAACTTGGAATTTTTTACAGTTATGTAGGAATTTAATATATATATATTTTGCAAGAAGCCTTAGAATAATAGTAGTCATGTAAAGTCAATAAAATTTGACAACAACTTTTTTTCTAATTAACTAATGCTACCTTATTTCTATTGGGATATAAAAAGTCAACCTAGGAGTCTGAAAAAATGTAGAAATAAAGTAGAATTTTCAGAACCTGGATGTGTTATGGTTATTTACATTTGTAATTCAATTTATTTAAAGATGATACAGAAGAGTTTTACATTTCTTCTTGCAGATTTTTCCCATGCTGAATGATGTTAATAGAGAAGAAACAATGAGTTTACTATTAATCTTGACYCATTAGACAAGAATAAATCATTAGGGAGTATTGTTCATGATTATTCAAAACCAGCCCACAAAAGACAGAGAATCAAATTTTAACACGACTCTTAGGAAATTAAATATGAACATTAAAAAGTGTACTGAGGAAATCAAATATTACCAGTAGACAAAACACCTCAAGAGATGCAATCTTTTAATGTACTTTATTTAAATATAACTAAACTATAAAATAATTCCTTCAATCAATTATTTATTAACTACTAACAATTATACAATAACCTGTTCAACAACTTGTATGTTGCAATAATTGAACTTCCACATCCATTTTTCTTAAAAGCTCAGCGCTTACTCACATACATTAGGACRAAGGAGCCTTACACTGGCACTTGTAAACATTGCAGCTCTGTGTGTTTGTGGAAGGGAAAGATGTGCACAAAGTGGGCCTAACACACTGGTATCAGGAAATTTTAGCTGTGTTTAAGGCGTCCTGCTAAGGAATTTAAAAAGGATCACCACCTACGTGCAACAATGTGGAACCAGCCGGCTCCAATGTGGGGGATGCTCAGTGCTTAGGAGCAGTAGCAGGACACGCCCCACCCCGCAGCACCTCCTACCTTCGGTCACGTTCAGATCTTCCTTCACAGAYGCTCGGTAGAACCTCACTTTCAGCTTTTTTGCCAGTGCTTCTGCCTCCTCACTGCACAATGTAAGACCACTTTGTAAGTCTTTATTTGGTTCATTTGTCAGCATTTATTCTTATAAACAAAATGCTTTGTGGTAAATTAAACATGGCAAAGTGGGTTGAGAAATTGAAGACAGTCAAAAAATACCTAATCCTTAATTTCTTTACAATATTTCCACTATACAAAGAAGGTATTTTACATGCAGTTTCTTTATGACTCAAAGGAATTATTTTCAGTATTTATTGACTTCATTAAATAAACTTGCCAAGGGTTCGAAGAATGGTGTTGGTGAAACCAAAAGGAAGAGGACTGTAATTAACAGCACTATCACTGCAAAGTCTAAACAACAACAAAAAAGTAACCCTTAAGTATATATTAATGAAATAGAATGCTATGCAGTCAGGTGAGGCCACAGATGAAATCAAGAGGAAGAACTTCACACAACTTAGTTGTGAAGAACTTAACGTTAAAGAAGCTTATGGATACTTCCCTAAGGAAAATCCCATCATCAAAAAGATTATGTTACTGAGGCAGACAGTATATTCTGAGAATCAACCCTAAGTGACATACCATGAATAAAGGAGGAGCTSAAATGCAATTTTGCTTTTCCTTTGAAAAATCCTCAGAATTCTTTGGAGAGGGAGTAGAAGCTGATTTATGCCATCAATGATAGCAAACAGACAACAAAGAAAGCCAGCACAGGAAACAACAAAAAAGAAGAAATAATTTAAATCTCTCAGAAAGGTGATAGAAATTAAAGAAGTGGACAATGATCAACTTGATCATGCACTATTTCCTACATATATGCTGTGGTAAATACAAGTTAGCATTTGTTAAGCTGATTTCATGACAAAAATGAAACTGGCCATGTACACAATGGCAGAATGAACTGACAATAAAATCTGTAAAGAAAAATAGAGCAAGGAAGATTCAGSACCATGCAGTTTGAGAATATTACCACATACAAATTTCTACAATGTTTTGATAAAAATGAATAATAAAAAACAAATTAAAGAAAGCAAAGAATATTAGCAAGCACTAGCCAAATGAGACAATGTGCCTTCAGTAGCGAACAGCAGTTTAAAAGCAACTGAATTTTAATGGGAGAGAAGATTTATAGTTTTAGATTTTCTGACTTAAAAAAAAAAAAAAAGTGTGAATTATATTATGACAGAACCAAACCTTTCATGTCATTCTGCTATAACTCTTGGCTTCAGGATGCAGCATGAAACAGAAAGCTCCTGGTTTTGCAAGCATATCTTKCCCAAGCATCTACCCTCATGCAGCAACACTCGCCCTGTCTGCTTCGAGGGCACATCTGGTTGCAGGGCACAGTGGGGACAACTCAGGTACTCTTAAGTCCACCAGAAACCCCCACAGACTTCTTTTTTAAAAACTTTTGTATGCAGGGGTCACATATTGATATTTTAAAAAGTACAATTAAACTCCTACTTCTTTATGCAAGAGTCATCAAGAAGATCAATCTTATTCTGCACAAGAACTGTGGGAATGTCTCCAACTTCAGTCACAACTTTTTCCTTCCAAGTAGGGATTGCTTTGAAGGACTCTTTGTCAGTTGTAGAAAACACAAGAACACAAGCCTGGGCTCCTAGAAATACACAAATAAATTGCAAATACAAACACACACAAATTAGCCAATAAACAAAAGAAAAAATAAGTTGTAACGTATTCAAAATATGAGGGATTTTTCAAGTTTTCCCCTTAAACRTGAACTTTTACCACCAGCTTCTGTCAAACCACTGGTGATGGATTCCCCAAATGAAAATACATTGCCATATTATTTTGMCCATTACACCCATCTTCATGATGACTATGGGTCTGTTACCTTTAAAGCTAATTCCAGCACCCTGAATATATGAAGGAAAGGAACAGCAGGAGATCTGGAAAGGCTGGAAAAAGGGGAGGTTCATTTCTTGCTCACTGTTTTCCAAACACCTTAATGAAGGCCAGAAGGCAAGTATTTTTCCTGTATGTAGCATTCTCTAAAGAACATTTCACATTATCTGTGGTACAGTAATTTGGATTTTGAAAAGCAGAAATCTTTGAAAAGTTTTCAGACAAAGTTGTGATTATTTCAAGTAAATTGTTAGTAGCTTTTTGGAGAAAATGAGCGTATTTCTAATTAATACTCATTCTATCAGAGCACTACAACAAATTATACAAAAYCTTTTGTAATGGATTTACAAATAAACAATAGTTAGGCCTCATGGATATTGAGAAGGTACTTCCACATCTGAAATGTTAGTGTGTGGTCTTYTGACTGTCCATTAGCCCTTTGTTATTCTGGATGTATATGTATATTCAACTTTTCTTTGCACATACACAGATGCAGAAACACTTCATTACTTACATGCTTTCAATATACTTGTAACAGTGTAAAAGCAATAGAAAGCTAGTGTTTTTGAGACTGTAATACAATCTTGTGGTGAATAGCTCAAATTAGTATCATAGAGCATGAAATTTTTTTTAATCAGTATGAATTTTATCTCTGAGTTTGACCTAGTATCCCTGATTCCTGTATTCTGTTTATCTTTGTATTTCTTTGACACAAAGCACACAAGTTCTCTTACAAGGTYTCCTTTTATTTAGCTTTTTAAAAAMCAAGTTCACAGTCTATCTTGAGAAAGATTTCCTGTGTGCTTTAACATTCTCCCATATGCATACTACGATTCTTCTGGTAAGGTTTTATACAGAACAGTAAGAACTGCCCTAAGAACTTCAACTGAAGCTCTACCAGTAAAAAAGTGGTAATTCAGCCTAATTGTTTTCCCCATTATTTGTGCTGTAAAACTTTGTTTTCCCTACTGCCTACACCATACTCTAAAATATGCAATTACTCTGATGCAATTTCTGTGACATAGGTGTAAAATTAATTTTTCTTTCCAAAGCAGGTTAGTTTGCATTTGCCTGYTGTCTCACAAAGTAGCTTAATGGAGATGAGAGCATTCATTAAAATAACTCCCACCATCAGCGAAAATCACCTTGTTCAATTTTGAGACCAAGAAGTCCTTTGTGAAGTTTCCAAACTAAGACACTTTCACTTCATCTTTCTCCTTCCACCCAYTGTTTCTAAATGCTACCACAGGTAATAGTAAGTTTCGAGGGAAAAGCCCTGGCATGTGGTAGGTAAAGAGAAGGATGTAGCATACGACATCAGACCTTATTCAATTTACATACAGTACAGGTAGAATGCAGTGGCCAAGGACAGTAAAAATAACTAATAACTTAGCTTGACCATATTCATTTTGAAAGAGAATTATATGACAAATAATGACTTCAATAAGGAATCAAACTGAAATATTTTTGAGGACCTTCAAGATTTTTACAAAAACAGCAATAAAACAAAGAGTTATCAACAATGACAAATTCTATAGACTTATGTCATTGTGTACTTGCAAACGTGCCGATGTTTTTGATAGCTGGATTATAAGTATCAGACTTAATTAATCCAATAGCTCTGTAAGATGCTTATTTAAGCAAATAAGAACAAAAGTAGTTTTCCTCTCATGTTCAATATAAAACAGTATTCAAACATAATCTTTCTGAAGTGTGCTTCAGTATGGTGCAGAAGTTAGTATGGCAACAGAGTTCAACAGAAGATACTGTCGRGCAGAGATTTTAATAGGCAAATCCTTTTAATCTTCAAAAAACCTGCTAAATGCTCCCTATTTTTATTGAAAACACAAACCATTTAAGAAATTATGATATCCATATAAGAACTCTAAGGAGAAAAAAAAAAAGACAAATGCTAGAATTTAGGCATGTAAACCCATTTTTTTATGCAGGCACTGACAGTATTCAAGAGTCCGTAACATTATCTCAGTCATCCACTGCTAATGGAGTCATACAACACCTCTGTCATTCAACAGATTATGTACAACAGCAGGCACCAGCAGCAAAGGCCCAGGATAGTGTCAAGCAGGAGCATAACAGCTCAGGATGTTCTCAATGAATATTTTAAAGTTCTTCTGTAWGAAGCTGTTCCAGAAAGCTACTTTAAAGGACTGAAGAAAATGACATTGTGTGCAATTATTGCACTGATAATCCGTCTGTATTTTAAAATGTTCCAACTGCCTGCAGAATCACTGACATAATATTTATACCTAGAGCARTTCAGAAAAAAAATCAGAGACTAGTGCTACTTGATTCAAGTAAACCATGAGCTTGTCAGCTGAGTAGGTCTGAAAGATCCTCAGCAGACTACCCTATCCCCATAGACTCCATAAGCATATTTTTTTCCTTTSATAATGGCACAAAGCCTTTGTAATAAAAAGTGTAAGGAATTCCTTGCCATGAGGAGACTCTCAAAGGGCTTTATACCTGACCCTATTCACTTCACTCAGTTCTTTGCCTCAGCTTTTTCAGGCTACAAAAGAAAACATATTRCCTATAAAACTGATTGTGACTTGTTCAATCTTACACTGAGATGAAAATGCAGTATCATCATCTAGAAACTCTTGTTTACTGCTGATGTTCTAACTTCCRTGGATCCCGGCTGTCTTTAACAAGCTCATCAGGATTTAATGCCTCCTTAACAGTATCTAAAAGAACTGGGCCAGCATGGTCTTGCAAGCCGTTCTATTATCATAGCTGCTACAGACAAGGATTAATAAATGCAAACCAAAGCAATGCTATGAAGGCTTGATTATGCAGAATGAACTATKGTGTAATAAAGTGAGGATCCTGAGGATGTCACTAATTAGCAACTGAGTAACACACTAATGAGCAAGATGTCTGTTTTCCATCAAAAACATAACAAGATTCTTCARGATTCCAGTGGGAGCAGGTGGAAGAGGATGCATGCATGAAGAAGTAATCAAATACTGCCTTGAGAAACATTTGACTTCAATCTCATAGAACTGGTGAGAAGATACATGGTACTATACAGAAAAGAAATTATTCAGTGCATACAGTGCTCCCTTCAACTCTGAATTTAGGCTGCTGGACATCTTGCACTGTGTGATTGTGGGCATGCAACTACACTGGCTGCAYACAGTTGCCTGCACACAGAAAACCATATGACAAATCTACTGTCAGCTCCAATTCTGTTTCAAGGCTGAATGAATTTGGTCCCTGGACAAGAAACACTCAGAGACAGCCTCTGAAGCATTCATGTGTGAGCATGGATGAGCACCCAATCACTGAAGAACTGACAATGCACAACATCTCAGGGCAGTACATAAAGCCCTAGTGCAGCAATAGTGGGACACTGACCTGTGGCATAGATTAACAGCCAGCATCTATCTTACCTATCTTAGAGGTGTCCTCCCCTYAACAGCAATAATTAGCAACAAAATCCTTTCACTTCCAAAGTAAGCTTGACTTCTTGCTTCTATAATAGTGTGACTGCTGAAATTAGACTAAAATTGCATCCCAGGCTCTTCCGATTTCCCTTGTGCTTCATGAGTCAAAGTCTAGTGTACAGCAGTCACTGTATCCGACACCTTGAACTATTTATTACATATCCATCATGCTGCTACAATGCATACAGGATGACTCTGCTCTTCTTCATAGCAAAGGAACTCCAAGGCAGAGATCTAACAGCACTATGCTGACTATGAGTCATGACCAAGATTTCCAGATATTCATGGAATATTTTTTTTAAACCACCAGRCTGCTTGTGGTGAAGCCAGTAGGTGTACTGAGTTCTTCTCAACACTCCATATTCTAGCCTATCAGACCCACTAATCAGAAAGGAGAAAAAGTCTTTGGCTTTAAACAACTGGGGACAGCAAAGCACACGAGAGCCAAAGAAAGGCCAGGAGAGTAAAAAGGAAGCTCCGAGAGAATCCAGTACTACCATCTAAATTCACATGCCCAACTTGTCAGCTGTAAAATGGCAGAATTATCTATATCCATATAAAAAAAAGAAGAAAGATCTTTTTCTGAGGAAATAGCAATCATCAATTATGAGCTACAAGAAATATTACCACAAAAACACACTCTTAGTTAACAAATCCATTATGAAACATAGAAAGCTCACAAGACTTTAACACCCTAAAACATATTTTATCTCTGAATGAGGTATACACCATAGCAGTAYATTTTTCCCCACCATCAGGTAATTAGTTTGCAAGAACTGAACAGTGAAATCTTTGCCAAGTCATTGATATCTCTCCCATTAAAAAAACCAACAAGAAATATTTTAGAACCATTGTTGAATTATAAACAAAGAAAGTTTAACTATGYAATTTGAAAGTGGCTAAATAGATAAGCTGCCTTTACACAAATAATACAGTTTATTTTTTWAAGTAAAATTTTTCTTATTGTTCTTGTTATAATGCAGTCAAGGCAGACTGTACTAGCAAAGAACTGCTGTGCCTTGTAAACTGTCTTTCTAGRATGACTAGTGGATTTTTCTCCCCTTTAATTAACTACTAAGTGCCTCATCCATAGTTTCTGGAACATTTACAAAKATGTGTCTCACAGAAGTAATGAAACAATTTTAAAGGGAAAACAGAAGAAAAATTTGCATATGACTGTTTGAATGTCTACATTCTGTCCAGTTTCTGTGCAGTTATTYGTATGTTTTCTAAATGGCACAATGTTTTCTGAAGGGCACTACTGCATAAACCAGCACATAATTGAGACAAGGAACTTGCACAAAGGGAAAAAATATTTAAGAACTGAAAAAGCCGAACTGTAAGAACTCMAACAACATGCTTTGCACACACATGAAATAACTAAAATTCTTAATACAAAGATGAGAAAATATTTTAGGAATGTGCGGACCAGAAAAACTCAACAACTACCAAACAACAAACACGCTATTTTCACCTCTGTAGTAGGCCTTCGTTATTGCATCAAATTCCTCTTGACCTGCAGTGTCCCATAACATTAGCCTGACATCTTCACCATTAACTCTGAAACGAACAAGGCAATTTTGTGATGAATACAGTAACAGGAACAAATCAAAACAATTGACAGGGAAATTCTTATGTTTCTAAGCTGTAAGAGTAATCCAAGTCAAATTTACCTGGATGTAAGCACAATGCAACTTACTATTAATGAACATTCACCCTCATAACATACTATGGTAATAGTCCCTCAATTACATTATATGCTCTTCATGAACATATAATTGTCTTTCTGACAATCTGTATTACATTTTYCTCTTCCTTTCCWCTTCATCCTCTACATTTCCCTCTAWGACAAAAAATAAGATGRATCTCAAAACAAAACYYGGGTGYCTGAAGAATGGTGCTTTTGTCTTTTTAATRAGCGTACAGAATTTATAGAATTTTCTCACTTCCCACGACTGTAAGATTTTCTACTTTATCAAACATAATTGGATATTACCTGTTTATACTCTTAAAGATTCAAATTACTTCTTTCATTCATTTTTTTCTACATTGGCTAATAAATTTATGTAATTGTTTTACCATAAGCAGTTTCATTTCTTCACAAGAAATTACCAAAAAAATTCACAAAAATAATCAACAGGTGGAAGAATATAAAGGAAACTTGTCAGAGAGCTTGATATGTCAGAGATTCCAGATTTTACTTATAATTTTAAATTTTTGGATGGAGAATAAAGGATATAAGTTTAGCCCACAGTGCAAGAGAGAAAACAACTCCCTTTAGTGTGCTTCAGAAGTGGCAGGCCTTGTTTACCAAGTCTTTGTAAATTTCAAGATTACAACAGAGAAAAGAAATAGAGAGAGAGGTAAAAATCAATAGTATGTCATCTGTTTAATACATACTGGATCTGTCTTTCCAGGAAATCTACACCAATAGTTTTCTTGTAGTCTTTTGTAAAAATCCCCTTGCAATATCGCTGAATCATACTGGACTTCCCAACAGCTCCATTTCCTACTACTACCACCTTGATGGCAACCTCCATATCTTCTTCCAACATCTTTGCGTCTCAGGTGACTCTCTGGTTTATTCAGGAAACTACTGATTCTGTCAACAAAGTAAATAGCTATTATGTTCATAAAAATGCTGTGAATAGAAAGCAAGAGGCAAGATGATCACACAGATTAGGGTGAATATAGATAGTGCCATTTATTTCTGTCTCTGTCACAGATTGTTTAAGAGACCTCAGGCAAGTTATTTAACTAGCTTTGGTTTGACACTTATTAATTGAAAATTAATAAAAGTTGAAAATAGAGAATTATTTATTTGGCTTATTGCAAATCAAGATGTTTTGGTGGCTTTTTTTCTTTAATGAGGAAGAACTTGAGGCACTGAACTACAAAATTACAGAATTGTTAACATTGGAAAAGATCTCAAAGATCATCAWGTCAAATCATTTACGCAACACTGCCAGGTGCTAAACCACGTCCCTAAGTGCCACATGTACATATCTTTTAAATACCTCCAGGGATGGTGATGTGACCGCTGCCATGGGCAGCCTGTTCCAATGCTTGATAACCTTTTTACTATAGAATTTTTTCTAATATCCAACCTAAAACTCCCCTGGCACAACTTGAGGCCATTTCATCTTGTCCTGTTGCTTGTTACTTGGGAGACAAGACTGACCCCCACCTTGCTATAATCTTTTTTTCAGGCAGCTGTAGAGAGCAGTAAGGTTTCCTCTGAACCTTCTTTTCTCCGGGCCAAACAACCCAGCTCCCTCAGCCATTTCTCATAGGACTTGCGCTCCAGACCCTTCACCTCACTACCCTTCATTGCCCTTCTCTGGACTCAMTTCAGCACCTCAGTGCCTTTCATGCAGTGAGAGGCCCAGASCTGGACACAGCACTSGAGSTGTGGCCTCACCAGTGCTGAGTACAGGGGGACAGTCACTGCCCTGGGCCTGCTGGCCACACTACTGCTGACACAGGCCAGGATGSCAYTGGCCTTCCTGGCCACCTGGGCTCATGTTCAGCTGCTGTCAACCAGCACCCCCGGGTCCTTTTCACTGGGCCACTTTTCAGCCTCTCTGMCCCCAGCCTKTAGCTCTGTATGGGGTTGTTGTGACCCAAGGGCAGGACCCAGCACTTGGCCTTGCTGCACCTCACACTCTTGGCCTTGGACCATCGAGCCAACCTGTCCAGATCYCTCTGCAGAGCCTTCCTACCCTCCAGCAGATCAACACTGCCACCCAGCYTGGTGTCAGCTGCAAACTGACTGAGGATGCACTCAATCCCTTCATCCACAGATCACTGATAAAGATACTTAACAGGACTGGCATGAACASTGAGTCCTGGGGAACACCACTAGTGACCATGTGCCAGATGGAATTMAATCCATTCACCACTGCTCTCTGGAACTCCATCCCCCAAACATGTGCCTCACTCCAACTTTTCTCTAGGGAGGCTGGTTTTATCCCTTTCTCCCTTCACATCTAGCCTAAAACTTCCTAATTAGTGAGTCCTACTAAATTTTGTAAAAAAGAGATACCCTCTTTGAGACATATACCCCACATATTCCCAGCAGGTGTGGTTGTTGTGTAAACTGACCCACCATCAAAAAACCCAAACCTTGCCTGTTATCAAAATTCTATCTCTTCCTCTTTCTTCCTATTTCATTCCCTGTGATTGGAAGGCYAGAGAAAATACTGCTTGTGCTCCTGATCCCTTAATCAGTTTCCCCAAGGCTCTGAAGTCTCTACTGACTGCCCTCAGACTTGCTGCAATTTCATCACTCCCCCCTGATAAAAGCTAAGTTTTCCCCACGTTTTGCTGTGCCGGAATATCATCACTGTACCATTTTGAAGCTGYAGAGTGGCAAATTTCCACCCAAGAATCAAATCACCCTCCTTTCGAAGRAGGGGAAAATACTCTCCTTTTAAGGGCTCTGCCCATCAGCATGCTCGCACCCCGGGGGCCACCCGATATCTTCGCTCGGCTCGCCCGGACAGATGATGTTTCCAGGCTGCATTAACCATCAGCCCACACCCGCTGTTAGGCAAGCCCCGTTAGCCCCGGGAAGCCGGATGGCCATTTTGGGTGAGAACAGCGGCCCGCCCGGGGGTCTCCGCGCAGGGATCCATCCCGCCGACACCCCCGGCCCTGCCGAGGCTCGGCCGCCCCGGCCCCTCCCGCGGCCCCGGCCCCGCTGTCCCGAGCCCGGGGCTCCCCGGCTCCTCCCCGCCCGCCCGGGGCCCCTCTCACCAACCCCTCACGGAGCGGGCGGGCGGCGCTCTCTCCGACAGCACGGCACTGCAGGGACGCAGGGAAGAGCAGACGGAGGGAAGGCGAGAGGAAACCGCTCGCTGGGGCCGACCCAACCCGGACGCACATCCCGGCTCCCCCGCCCGGAAGCGCCGTCAGGACCGGGGGCGCCGCTCGGGGAGGCGCCTGCCCGCTGCCCCCGCCCCGCSCCGGACCCCGCTCTGKGGGGCTGCCCGAGCCCTCCCGCCSGGCTGGCCTGGCTTGGGGTGCTGCTCCTTCTCCGCCCGAGTCGGGCTTGAGGCGRCGGGAAGCGGCTTCTGAGGGGTTTTTGTCTGGAGTGCCGAGGAAAGATTCGGACAGGGCTGATCTCCCTGGCCCACGGGTGCATTACCCCCTGTTCACTCCCTACCCGCCGGCCTTCCTCACCTCATCCTCCATGGAAAACAAAACTGTGATCAGCCACGGSCTTTCCTTAGGATATCACGGAAGGCAGCTGCGTGCCTGTGGGCAGCACCCTTTTGTTTTTGACCAAAGTAGGCTCATCACTGTAGCACGTGGTTTGTCAGCTCCCAGAATATATTTTAGGATAAATTGGCATAACTGTAGGCGTGGCAGTCTTCAAACCTGAATATTTTAACCTTCATTAACGCCTTGT